AAGAAAGTAACAAAAGGCTGAAAAAACAATCGAAAAGATTTTCGGTGTGATTTTTAAAATTAACTAATCAGAAATTATCAAGAAAATCATGACTGGCAAATTTTAAAAATCGCGCCAAAATTGTTTGTTCGGTCATTTGCAATTTCGGACAAAATTCGGCGTTTTAGGAATTCTGCCCCAGCCGAATAAAAATTCTCTATACCTAAAAATTATGTTAGGAAAAATTCGTTTTAAAATCTACAGAAGATGAAACTAGTTGAAAAATTACGTTTTAAATAATATTCAGTTTTTGGTTTATTTGGCAAAGAATTTATGGAAAATATATATGTAAAGTAAGGATGAAAATGTTGAATAACCTGAGCATTAAAACATATAGTTCAATATATGATCAATCAGTGAACTGACGTTTGAGATGACCATGAAGAGTGTCTAAACGTATAAACAGAACTCTCACGAGGATATCAGGACTTGTAATTAGATTGCACGTGTTTACACGTAGATATAACAGAGTTAAACGATAATTTGTTTCCAGATATATGTATATACGTGTATTTCATACATCGTCACACAAATATATATGCATACATACACACATGATTATAAATTATGGCACGGTTCCCTTCAATTTCTTAAAAATAGATACGTTTCAATGACGCATTTCGGTTTATACTTTTTATAATTAAAAAATTATAAAGTCACTAACCAAAAGCGTTTATCAATTTTCCATTAATTTTCATCTGTTGAATTTTATTTTAAAAAAATCATCGTTAATTTAACGAATCAATTAAAAAAAAATTCTTTATATTTGAAAAATTTAAAAATAAAATTTTTTTTACATAAAATTAAAGATATCAAAAATTAATGGAATTTGAAGATAAATGACATTTATTGATAAAAAAATTTAATGAGGAATCGTTTGTTAAATTACTTCCGCCTTTTCATCTATGGTCCTCAACGAGGAAATTAATTTAATATTTACACATTCCTGTAAATATAGGAATACATTTGAATATTGAATATGTTTTCGAGAGAGGATTGCACAAGTTTATTTACTAACTAGCAAAATATAACTTCAACGAAAGCAACTTATTTATGATTGTAACTTTATTAATTACATATACGAGTTTTAATTTACTCCGAATTCATTATATAATTTTGTTATATATACAAATAATGTTTAAAAATTATTATCATTAATAAATTATATTATTTAATATTATTAGTAAATATTTATTTACAGTTAATAATTATTTTAATATTAAACTTGAAAGGAGTTTTTTACGTGTAAAAGAAATAAATTCGTTAAAAATCGAAACATATATCAAATTCAAAGCGATTTCAATATAAAAATCATTTTAACGTATAATTGAATAAATTTTTGCATCTTCAAAGTAATAGTAATTTATTCATTTAAATTGAAATTCAATTGCGCGTATCTTTTTTAAATGTACTTTCAATCAACGATAGCGTTTCAAGTCTTTAGAAAAATTATATATATATGTATATACCTTATATCTGATTGTTGTAATCTAATCAATTTTAACTTTCTCAGAAACCTGCAATCCTATCTATTGGTTTTTTTTACTTAAGCCCGCAAGAAAAGTAATTGAATCAGATGATGTCGATCCTTTCAATAACCCTGACCTCTAAATAATTCTTTATTGATAAGAAAATAGAATAATTACAAAAAAGGGAGATACTTTAAATATTTCACATGTAAAAAGTAAACTATTAAAAAAAATTATTTGATTCGAATAATCGGTTACTTCATAACTTTATTTGAATCAAATAAACTGTATTCGAGTCAATAATTTTTGTATTTAAAATAAATACCTCAAATAATAATTATTTGATACAAATATGATAAATACAGTCAAGTAGCCGATTATTTGCATCAAATAATTTTTTTATATATTAGTAAAATTTTTAACTAATTTGAACTAGTAGTGGACATTTTCCTATATGAATTAGTTAAAATTTACTACATAACGAATTAATAAAAAAAATCCAATATGATCCACTTTTTTATCAACAATAATGTGTTAGTCATAAAATGATAAATTTATTGTCAATTATAACCATATTGCGAGCAATCTTATTTGAATTTATTCATTGTTTATGCATTATTGTTTCGAGGCATATATTGTAGCTATATTGAACACTCAATACAATTTCCGAATTGCATCAAGTCTACTTTTCCAGGTCGAGTAGCTTTTGCATTAATGGAAAATGAAATAAGTTTTCAAATCGATTTGATTTTCTTTCTGCCTAACAATAATAATTATAACTGACATTCGATTCGTATTATTGATTTTTAATATGTATATACGTATTCGCGCTATATTTTTTAGTACCTGTTGATAACGAATAACGAAAGACCCCTACACAAATACATATAGTATACTTATATTTATTGAGCGACTTATGTGTATATATGATCAAAACACTCAAGCACTTCGCGGTTGCAATATATTTCAAGTTTATTTATGTCCTATTGTAATTCGAGTTCATTCCCCTTCTTTTGCCATCATAGAGCCAATGAATGAGGCAACTTTATTATATAATGTTTATGTTTCTTTCACATTCCTATAGATTATTGTAATTATATATATATAATGTCTTTTTTTTAAATGTAGTTAACAAAAATTATTTATTTTTAAAATTAGTATAGAAATTGATTTTAGATAACGTGAAAAATAACTAATTATTAATTAAAAAAAAATAAAACAATATCAATTTTACTTATTTTTATCAGCGATATTTTGGGTTAAAACAATTATTTTTAATTAAATTTTATCTAGAGGCAATTAGTAAAACGTGTTTTTTTTTAATATTTAAACTTATAACAAAAGTTGAGGTAATTATTTTTAACAAAAATAACTGTAAACTGAATGTCGATTGTGAAATTCTATTTTTTCTTACACTTCCACTCACTTTTTGCTTTTGAATTAGTAAAACTAATGAAATTAATACCCAGATAGCACGAATCCTTGCAGCAAGCTTTCCGCGCAATATTGCCAACCTTGCATGGCAAACTTCAAATGTCCCACCTGATCCAAGCTTGCATGGTAAGGTTACCGAAAGATTGTACTGTAAGGTTGCTAGAAGCTTACCTTGCAAGCTTACTGAGCAATCTTGCAGTAACCTTATAGTACAATCTTTCGGTAACCTTACCATGCAAGCTTGTGTCAGGTGGGACATTTGAAGCTTGCGGCAAGTTTGCCATGCAAGGTTGGCAATATTGCGCGACAAGCTTGTCGCAAGGTTGCTGCAAGCTTTCGTGCTATCTGGGTACACTGTAAAAAGAAAGTACTAAAATAATACCGATTTTAGGTATCAAAATAGAATTAATGGAAGTAAAAATATGAGTTTACAAAGCACAACAGTAATTTAAAAAAAAAATCCCGCCTTTTTTAGAAAAAATAACAAACTTTTTTGTCGTTTGTATTGTGTTTAAAAGTTCATTCTCCTTAGGTGTTTTGCGCGTGCCAATAAACAGATAGAGAAACTAAGTTTCCCAACTCTCTACATAATACTATATAGCTTCCGCTTGAATGTATTATTATTCTCATCATCATTCCAAGGAAATTTTAAAAATAGAAGTTACACAACACTATAATAATACACAAGCGCCACTTTAATTCACAAATGTACACACCGAAAAAAAATATTCTATGAAATTTAGAATATACAATTGGCACATATTTTATACTTAAATTCAATATCCAATATTCTTAAAATTAGAATGTTATATACTGAATTTAAGTAATATTCTAAAATATGTTCCAAAGTATATAAGAATTTTTTTTTTGATGCAGAATCTAATTTTGCTTCTAAAAAAATTTTTTGCGAGTTACCCAAAATTTATAAACAGAAACAAGAACGCCAAAAACTGAAAAACACAATGTTTTTAAAGACAGAGAAATCTGGAACACTATCAACAAAGCGAAAGTTTTTGTCAAATGGAAACAGTAAAGTAATTTGATATATATAAATAACTGTTACTTTATGATATACAATACTAAACTGTTTTAATTGTACCCTCATGATGAAATTATTTTTAACGAGATACAGTTGGGGAATAAATTAGTTTTCCTCGAAAGTTTATTTAATATATCTCATTAAAAAAAGTGAAAAACATAAAAAATGCGGGAGCTTTAAAATGTAAAGTGCTCTTTATCTTTGGCCCTTGATCTTCTTTTTAAAGCCTTCTGTCATCAAGAGAAGTGGTATTGCCCTCATTACTGTTTTGCACTGTTAGGGAGATTAGAAAATCGTGCTTTCATGAAACTGCTAAAAGAGAGAGAGAGAGAGCGAGTCTGCGAGGTATTAGAAGATGCTTTGTGCATCAAATTACAATATCTAAAAAGAATTTCAGTGCGTTTGATAATAATTAAATACCAAAAGTCAAAACACTTCAGATTAATTTTATTCAAGGCGCAGAGAAAATTCAATAATCTTCTTTATATTTGAATAAAGGAACTCTTTTTTTTTGGAGAAAACTGATTTTAAAAGGCGCACCAGGAAAGATTTATTTTCTTGATCTGAAATACTGTATTATTAGGAGATCCATATATTTTAGTTCGTGTGGCACCTCACGTATTCAACCTTTTACTCTACACGACATCTCATAATCTTCAATACTTTCTATTCTCATCTCGTTCTACATCTACATTTCGACGGAATATAGTTTAAGCTTTTGTAAAACAAACTCGAGCATTTTTTTTTTGAATTACATTACAATGCATATCTTTTTCTTTTTTGAATGCTTTGTTTTCGAGTCACGTGAATGAAGACCTCTTACTTTACACTTATACGAAATTCTGACACAAGATTAGTTTTGTTTACAAAGAAAAACGTATACAGAAAACTTTTGTAACTTTTCTTATATAAAAAAGAAGAAAACTTTTATTTATAAAGAAAAAATTTTGCAACACTCTTTGTCATCATTTTAAATTAAATCACTTTCTCTAATGACAAAATGATGTTTATTTTTACAGGTTCTGCATCAATTGAACAGAAAAACGGAAATGGCAGCGTCAAGGGCAACAAGACGAACAACAACGGGGCCGAGGTTAATCGAAATGAAGAACAAAATGGTTCCATTGACATCAAATCACAGGCAAAGAAGAAATCAGGAGGACCTGGAAGTGGCCCTTTGCTACAACAAGCGTAAGTTCACTTACGATTCTCTCAGCCATTAGTAAAGGTAATTAATGAAAAATCATTGAGCCAACTATATTCAATAGAATTAAAAGTTAATAAATATTTTATTCAAAAATAAAATATAAATTCCCCTCAAAAATTATTGTACAAATAAAATGATTTCTCGAAAGAAAATACGATTTTTATAATTAATACTTTGCTTTTGTTGTCATTCATTTTTCACCGGGAGCTTTGATTTTTTGTAAACCTATTAAATTTCAAGTTTTTTTTTTTAAATGCACAAAGTGCCAACTACTAATAATGAAACTCATTACATTTCCGACTCTATAATTACCTCACTATTTAAAGTCTCTAATTAAATTCTTTTCTTATTTTTTTAATTAAGAAACCATTTAAAAATCTTGTTCTTGTCTAAAGACCTGTGAATTTATTATGAATTCAGTAAATAAATAATTAACCTCCGCATTTTTATTCAATAAAAATAAATTTCTAAAAATATTATATTATTAATTAATATTAAGTTCTTACTAATATTAATTAATTTATTCGAAATATAGTTTTAATTTTTTATAAATATTTTAACAATGTTCTTTTTTTTTATTTACAGAGAGATATCTTCTAGTCAATTGGACTTTTTCAAGATGCTTGACGAAAAAATTGAAAATGTAAGTTGAAGAAAAGAAAAATTAAAAATATATTCCATTAAATTAAAAATATATTCCATTAAATTAAAAATTTTAATTTTAAAATTAAATTTAAAAAAAAAATTTATTTATATCCTTGTCAACTTGTCGAGAGATATGTACGTGTCATTTTCTACCACATGTTCAAATATACATACCAGTCGTACTTGACCGTTCTTTGCTAATTTTGACTAAATCTAAAGTCTACAGTGTTAGTCTTCCAAGAACGAAACACGTCAGACGAATACCTAATTTATTTTCATAATCACAGAACCACAGAGTTAACGTTCTAAAATATATTTTTAACTTCTTTTTGTTTTAAAAAATTTTTTTTTAGAATAATTTCTATTATTGATTGAATTTCCATTTGTTCGAATTTTTATTTACACGAATTATTATTTAATAGAATTCATAAAACGTCGAATTTTTTATTTGTCCGAAACTGCAAATGACCGAAAAATAATCGACAATAAGATTTTGGCGCGATTATTAAAATTGACCAATCGTAAATTATTAAGAAAATTGTGATTGGTTAATTTTAAAATTCGCGCCGAAATCTTTCTGTCAATTAATTTTCGGCCATTTGCAGTTTCGGACAAATAAAAAATTCGACGTTTTATGAATTCTATTAAATAATAATTCGTGTAAATAAAAATTCGGACAAATAGATTCGATAAATTGAAAATTCTGACATTTAAAAATTCGAATCACTTAAAATTAGTTCTGTTAAATATGAGAATTCTACTAAAGAATTCATAAGAAAAATAAACGACCTAATTAATAGAAATATTGAATTTTCTTTACAGGGACCAGACTATGACGAGAGTATCGATGCATCAGCATCAGCGGATCGAATAACTGGCTTGCTCCGTCGCTGGGAACTGGCCAGTATTTCATGTTCGAACATTGCCGACATGAAGAATGTAACAACAATAAAAAATCACACAACCATCATGTATACACCTCGACAAAGTCTAAGTGCCAAGGATCGTGAGGGAATGAGAAATATAATTGGTGGTCGTCCTGAGAGTGCACCTGTTTATATGACAGCAAATCGTATAGACGGTCTTCAGGAGACACATTCATCGGCATCGCCAAATATGCCACGACACGTTCTTGAATCAATTAGTCAAAGTCCAACGCAAAGTTTAAAAAGTATGACACCACCTGGAATGTCGCCAATTAATCAACGCTATCATCATGATTACAATACTAGGGACAACAATTATCATCATCATCAAATGCCAAAAATTACCAAAGCAACACAACAATATTCGCATATGCCGAGTTCATTAAATGGTGATTTTGTCACACAACAAAATCTCTATCGTGAACAATATTTACAACAAACTGGCATGGTTTCCATTCCAACGCATTATGGTTCACCAGGTGGTAAAAATAATCCCTACGTTCAACAATTTCAAATTGCCAATTCAAAACATTTTCCTGCACCGAGAAAAAGGGACTTCAATGCGGCTCAAATGACGTGACCAGCGCGGGCCAGAACCACGTGATAAGACTGAAAAATACTAATAAAAAAAAAAACCACTGAAGAAGCTCTCGGGGGAATTTTCAATCCTCCAGGATCTCCGAATGATCAGCTTCCGAAAGAAGAATGACTTTTTTTGGGTTAGTCGGTGGGAATGGGGAGAAGAGAGAGTGAGAAAGAAGAGAGAGAGAGACGGAATTACTCAGAATTCCAGGGATTAATAATGTTCCTAAGGATATATAAGAGAAGAGCGAAAAGAGAAAATGACGTTCTCTGAAATATATATGTATAAAGGGAAGGCCTAAGGCAAATACAGAGAGACGGATTTAACACCTGGAGCAACTCTTTCTATTTTTAAATATATTGAGACAGAAAGTCGAATATATATTTGTCAGTCACGCTTTTACTATATTAATAATATCTTTCGATTCATAAAAAAACACACAGAGAACAATAGATATAACAATTAAACAGCTATGCGCGAAAAACATCACGTATTATAATACACTCCCGGTCTGTTAGACCGTCATTCCTTCTTTAGAGACATAAATTCTATTTACATCAAAATCATCAATTTCAAAAAATTAATAAAAATTGAGATATTAATATCTATTTTTCTCCGTAAAAAAAATTTTAAATCGAAAAGAAAATTTTTGTAAATCATGCTACAAAAAATTTTAGAGACAATTGTAAATTTGACCAAGGATTAATTATTTTTAATTCAATGAAATTAATTTTTATTAAAGTAGTTTTTTTTGTACTTTCAATTTAACGAAAACGACTTTTGAAATTTAAAACATTGAAAAAGAGACTGATTTGTAAAATGGTACAAAAAAAAAAAATTTTAATTTTTAACTGTGATTTTTTAATTAAAAATAAAAGGAATACATAATTCCTTTCATTTTAATTTGCATATTATATTAGACTGAGAAATTCTAAACTAAAAGTGTTCAAAAATCATCTTTTCTACCATCTTTTAAAAATAAAATATGAAAATTTCAATAATTCTCTATGAAATTTTCAAATTCATCACTCTAAATAGGTAAAAATCCGTCTCTCACAAAAATTCTTTATGGGGCATTTAGGCTAAAACCTTCAAACGGTATAAGTGCCAAAGCGATAATTTTTTAAATTATAATAATTTATATGTAGAAAGTTTTCAATGTTTGCGTTTTACTATATGCGGGATTTCCTTTTCTTTTTGTTACCTTTTTTTCTTAGTATAAGTTTTTTTTCTTAATTTTATTACAAACGACGGAGATGAAATCTTCATATAAAAAAATTTTTCATAAGGAAAAAGCAAAAAAAAAAAAAAAAGAAAAAATATCGAGAGTATTACCGTGAAAAGATTTTATGTAAATATAAAATTGTATTGATTAGCGAGGTACCTGGGACTACATATGAGGAATTATAAATATATATATATAAATATAATAAATATAAAAATCTGTATGTTTTAAGTGACCGATAAACAAATTAAAGATCTAGAGGTCCTAATAAAATTGTGTATAGAATCGCTGTATATCTATATTGTACGAATTCGTTAAATTAACGTGATGACTGTATATTTATATGTTGACCATATTCAATATTAATAATATATATACATATATATATATAGCTAGTTGATGATACGAGAGTTTTATATTTCATGTTACAATTCATTAAGCTGTCGAAACCATTAAAATTGCTTTATTATTTTAACTATATCTGACTGTAATATGTTTTTCGTCTCGTTGAAACGAATTCGTTTCATTCTTTTTTTTTCTTTTGTAAATAAAAATTCATCATTTCTCCTAAAATGAAAAAACAGAATTTTTATTTATTGACCCAAAAAAGAGTAAAAAAAAATTTTAATTTTAAAGGGAAAAAAATTTGTACCTTTTTTTGAAATTCAAATTTTTTTCTTGTTAACAATTTATAATATACAGTGAAAAAATAATTTATTTGATTCAAATAATCGGTTACTCGATTATTATAAAATAAATATTTACTTTAACTAAATAATTTTTATTTGAATTAAATAAATTGTCCAATAATTTCCGTATTTGAAACACAAATACAATTTAATTGACACAAATAATAATTATTTGGTTCAAGTAAATATTTATAATAATCAAATAACGGAATATTTGAATGGATTTTTTTTCAGTATATAGAATTATAACTTTAATTTAGTAAATTTTTTAGTTAGAAATAATAATCATAATTTCCAGGCAGAAAAATTTAAATAATAAATTTTTAAAGAGATTATAAATAAAATACGTCAGTTAAAACTGATTTCAAACTTTTGTAAAAGTACAAGTATTTGTCGACTACACATAATCCAATTGAATACTTCGCTAACGAGATCCGGATGGCCCGAAGTCCTTATGATAGTATCGTAATCGCATTTATACACCTGCATATTTCTATGCATGTATAGGGGTAAGTACATGGACCTAACTTCAATTATTTAAATTGGGTCATGGCTTTAAAAATATATATTTTTTACCGAATATTGTATATTAAAATTTATCAAAGTAAGTTTTTAGTTAAATTCAATTAATTAAAAAAAAATTAATTGAAAAAAAACAAAAATCGAATGCTTACAAAAATTTACCGACATTCAAAAAAAATTTATTTGATACAAATAATCGATTACTTGACTATTATCAAAGAAATATTTGAAAATAATTATTTTTTAACTCAATTAAATGGTATTTTTGTTTTAAATATAAAAAATTATTTCAAACTCAGTCTAATTAACTCAAATATAAAAATTATTTGATTCAAGGAAATATTTATTTGATAATAGTTAAGTAACCGATTATTTGAAACAAATAAATTTTTTTCAGTGCTTAAATGGCACATTGCAACACAAAAACGATAAATTTAGACAAAAAAAAAGAATAATTTAAAACATTTTTTAAAACATTATTTAATATTCAATTTCTCATCACAATGATTGAACTGAAAGAAAAAGAAAAATAATTAAACATCCTACCTACTGGAAAAGAAAAACATTTAACTATATAATATGTAAACTCTTTGAATTTTCAATCAGCAAATAATATTTATTGCTGATTCAAATTTTAAAGAGAACAATATAGTGACACAAAAAAAATTAAGACTCACACATTGCATATCAAAAAAAATTCACGATTTTCCTACCTATAGCTATATTTAATACGAATAAAATTTACCTCTTTCATACACAAAAAAAGTTTTTTCCTCCCTAGCTATATCTAAAAAAATCTTTTTTACTAAAACGCATCAACACACATACACTAATCAATATTATTGCATGCCACACAGCTGAAAGAAAAGATAAATTATTAAAATTTAAATTGTCATTAAGTAAAAAATTTACATTTATTAATGAAAAATCTGAATTTTTAATTTCTTAAGTAGTGAAATTTAAAATATGATTAAAGAAGAAAAATTTAGCCAAAATATAACAAATATGATTTAATTAATATAAAGAAAGAAAAATTTTATAATTTAATTTATAATTTTTAATAAGAGAAAATTAATTTACTTTAAAAGAAAACAAAAATATATAAACAAAACATAAAATACATTGCGAATAAAATTTTAAAACTGGCACAAATTTTAATTTTTTTGAATTTATAGAAAATGACAATTTTTCTAAAAGAAAAAAAATTATTTTTAAACCGGAAATACAAAAATTTAAAGGCACTTCCTATAAACCATGTCATCCTATTAAAAAGGGGGTAAGGGGGGATCAACTTTCCCGGGAAAGATAGGGTTTAATTTTTTATGTCGGCGGGAGGGGCTGAGCGCAATCGAAAAAGGGTCCAAAATAGTGTGACTTAGTTTATAGATAATGGCTTTTGTTTGTATTAATTATATTTAAAAATATTTCATATATATTTAAAAAAATATATACGAAATATAACAATAAATTAAAATCAGGCTTCGGATCGACTCTAAAAGGAGCAAAATAAGAAATACATAATAATTAAATTAATTATGTAATTTACTATCGAAATGAATTAAATTATTTGTGCCAGTTGTGTCACTATATTGTTTAAATTAAAAAAAAAAACTAACCAACAATTCCCACGTTGTAAATTTGTTGAAGAGCTAAAGCAGCATTGCTCATAGATCCTCCTCCTCCTCCTATTTTACAGTCAAGTAGTGAAAACAGCATTTAGTCAGACGCTTTTCCTCTTGAAAATCCTCGATCCTTCATCCTTCCTGTCCTGAATATTCTATATTTGACGTTGCTTTCCAACTCCAAAGCATAGCACACACAACTTTCACTAAATTTTATTTGTAAATTTTTAAACGCGCACAGACTCTAAATTTAATTAAATTATTTAAGTGCTGAGTAGTAATAAATTACATATGTAACATAATAAATCTTATTGATTTTGTTCTCTCTAAAAATTTATTTTATAATTATAATTTCATAATAATTCTGTTAAAAATTATAATTATAAAAAATTTAATAGATTGACAATTTTTAAAAGTAACAATTATAATAATTATTAACAATTTACAATAATTATTAGTTAATCTGTATTACACTGAAAAAAATAATTTATTTGATTCAAATACTCGATTACTTGACTATTTATCAAATAAATATTTATTTGTATCAAATAATTATTATTTAAGTCAATTAAATGGTATTTGTTTCAAATACAATTTATTTAATTAAATTAAAAATTATTTGGTTCAAATAAATATTTATTTGATAATACTCAAGTAATCGAGTATTTGAATCAAATAAATTGTTTTTTTCAGTGTAGATTATTCAAAAATTTAATTATAATTAAAACAATGTTATACTTTTATATTTCAAAAGCTATCTTTAAAATAAGAAAACAAAAAGAAAAACCAAACTTTTAAACTTTGCAAAAAATTGAAAAAAATAAATAAGTGTAGTTACTTGTAAATTGTAACGAATCCACAACACTGTTTAATTATTAGAAAGCATCTTCTAAATTAGACAACTTTTTAAAATAAAAAACTGATCAATACTTAAATAAAACAAGACGATTTTAAATCGCGCACTAACTCAAAACAAATAAAATTTAGAGTGAGACTTTGTTTTTTTTATATTTAATTTTCTCTTCTGTCTAGGTTGGCTCTGAAAAACACAAAAAACAATACTTAATTAACAATAGAAAAAATTTCAATAAACTGTAGTTTTTAAAATAATTCAATTTGAAATGATATTGAGTTTTTAATAAAAATAACAAATTATAAAATAAATGAAAGTAAATTTCAAATTTAAAAAATATTAATTTTGATTAATAATAATAATAATTAATAAAATATTAATTAATAATATTATTCATAAAACCGATTTAATTGAATATATATCTAGAATTAGATATTTATCATAATAGTAAATTTTTTCCATCAAAATATCCTCTTATTCAAAATAATGTGTTGAGGATTTTTATTTTTAATTAAAATTTAATTTAATTGAAATTGCAGTTTTCTAAAATTCCAGTTAATAATTTTTCTTCTTATTTAAATTGTTTAATTATTTTTTTATGTCCTAACCTCAAATTGTTTATTATAGAAATAAAAATAAATCCTTAAAATTAAACAAAGACAATTAAATTGAAGGTTAAGTTAATAATTGCCATATATTTTATTAAATTTAATTTTCTTTTCGGTTATATATTACTTTATAGAAAAAAATCAACAATACTTGTAATTATCAATTAATATCACAATTTACATATATATTTCAAAAATTATTTTATTGACATAATAAATACTTACAATTTTAATTAATACCCTCCAATGAAGAAAATTCCTAACAAGATAATGAGCTTTAAGACACTTGTCTCCGGAGATCCCTCCTCTGGGTTAAAATCTAGGTTAGAATCTGGAAATTAACCTTTTTTTAAGGAGACCGGGTCAAAATGACTCAAATTTCATATTTTGTTTCCGTAATTTGGATTTTTAGCAAAAATATTGATCACCAACACGAGGGAACTGAAACAAAATATCAATACAATTATATTAATTTATTTGAAAAGTGGAAAAAATAAATGAATACATTTTTGACACATTGTCACTTTGGAACAAATTTCATTGTTGCGAATAATGAATCGTAACTATTTAACAATATGCAACTTGGCAATAAGAATCCTAACCTAAAAATATTAATACTATGTAAAATCATAGCACAATGATTCAATTATAATAATTTGATGTAAATTGTTTCAATTTTTTCACTTTTGAGAACATATGAAGACAATGTTGTTGCAACAATGAAAAAGAAAACACTGGCGATTATGACACACTTTGTCGAAAATAATCTAGCTGGATATTAATTGTTATTTGCCCCACATTAAAAAAACAATCAAGTCACAAAACTTTTTAAAGAAAACTCACTATATTTGGAAGAAATATGTAAAAAATAAGAGCCGATATAAGCTTCGTAAAACTTTTGACAACAATGTAACGACATGAAAAGAAATACTCTGATTGGCTGAATGCAGCAAGTCTCGGTTAAAAGAAAATGTTCTGTTCTGACACCTATCGGCCGTTTATAGAATTGATAATGTAAATGCCTGAATTACCAACTAGAATTTTACTCTAATTTGTCGTTTAAAATAAAGCCGTTAATAAAAAAAATTATAAAATATATATTTTTTATAAAAATTTTAATAATAGAATTATTATAATGCTAATTATCATAATTATTATGAAGTGCTGTTAATATAAGCACAAAAAATACATAATATTTACGTACAATTTAATATAAAGTTTTTTTTTTATTCTAATTTGTATTTATTAAATTGCATTTCATCTCACAATTGCATGTGAGGATTAAAAATATTTTTTTCGATTGTTGTATTTTTTTCCCCTAACCTCAAATTGTACTATATCTGAAAATAATTGTATAAAATTCATATATATATACTCACCATTTTAATTAATTCCCTCCAACGAATAGGAAAACCAACCTCGGCCGGATGATAATCTACCTGTCACTTTTCCCCGGAGATCCCTCCTCTAGATTATAATCCAAATTGCAAATTTGGAAAATAATCCTTACAAGGAGACCGAGTTTTAATGACTTGTATTTCTCATATACCGGAAGTTGGATTTTCTATTAAATAGAGTGTTGTCCACCAAGTGAGGGAAAGCTGAAACAATAACCAATATATTTTACATATAATTCTTTTTTTTAACCATATAATGATGCTGAAGTAGAAAAGAAATAGAGATGTGTTTACGATTAGCTTCCTTTAGTGGTAGACCAGTGCCAACAATTGATAAAAGCTTAAAAAAAAATTTCTTTAAGCAGCGCAGATCTTGCGTCTAGAAGAGTCTACTGCTCACTGAAGTGGTGGGAGAAAAATCACATATATTTATAGACGTCGGCTGCCGTGCTCTGATTGGCCGGGCGCTTAGCTGCAGCAGCGAGTGCCCCGTCCAATCAGCGCACGGCAGCCGGAGCCCTAGTATAAAAAGTAGACTCCCCGCAGCGCGCGCTTAGATTAGTTAGTAAGCTTTTTTATTGTATTTAATATTTTAATAACTGTTGATTCTTTAGATTTTATTTATATAATAATCATCTAATGGGTTTTTTACAATGGACCTTTTTACCAATATAAGAATTCATGAAATAAGAATTATCTTTAGGAACTCTATAATAAGTGTAAACTAAGCTAAATATAAATATTCTGATAAGTTTATAAACTAACAGGTGCAGAATTTAAATCTATAAATTATGTATATTTTCTTATTATATTACTGTATTTAATTTGATAAATAAAGAGGTTTTAAAAAGCAAGCAAGCGCGCGCTTAGATCCTGCTTGGATGTTTTGAAGGCAAGATCTGTGTCGCTTCAACAAATTTTTTTTTCAATAATTTTTAGCTTTGCATCATCGATATGCCCCATTTTTTAGCAATAGATGAGGAGAATTCAAGGACAAAAGAAAAAAGAAGTCCTTTTACACCAAGAAATACAACGAAACAGGTATAAAATATGAATTATTTACAATTATTAACAGTGATAATGCAATAATTGGAAGAATACAATATGAGCGCGAAAATAAAATAGCTTGTATTGCCCTTCATCGTCAGTTCATTGAACATAATTCTCTCATCAGTATTACCATCTTTACAAAGCAATGATGAGCAGTCGATAATAATACTACGTACTTCAAAGCAAGATTCCTGCAATATTTCTCAGGCGACCGATGGGAAAGCCATTTCCGGTAGGTAATATAAGAGCAAACAGTTGTTCAATGAACATACACTATAGGGCAACACAATGCATTTCGTTTTCGCGGCTAAAATGCATTCAACTAATCAGTGCATTTCTACTTTTTACTCATTTTCAAGATTTTTCAAAAAATTGTTTGTTGAAAATTTGTCGATTGTTGAGATTTATAACAATGACAAATATTTCACAAGATGGCGGCGATTAAATAACCTTGAAAAAAATGTATTAATTTTTTTTCGTGATTTTTTGCGCATAAAATAATATAGTTTGACTATAAATTTTTTTTCTTTTCAGCTTCCCTCATGTGGTGTTCTGTTTGCCAGTTTGCCTGAAAATCCAACTTCCGGTATATGAGAAATTCAAGTCATTAAAACTCGGTCTCCTTGTAAGGATTATTTTTCAAATTTGCAATTTGGATTATAATCTAGAGGAGGGATCTCCGGGGAAAAGTGACTTGTAGATTATCATCCTGCCGTGGTTGGTACTCTTCTTTCAAGGGAATATAATAAAATGGTGAGTAATTATTAATTTGATAATTAAATATTTTTAAATAAGAATTTTTATATCAAGTGGATAAATTTTGCTTTATTTTCAAAAGAAAATTTGAGGTTAGGGAAAAAAAAACAAACAATTGAAATAAATATATTTCTAATCCTCGCACATACAATTTTGAGGTTAAATACAATTTATTATATATTAATTATGTTAATTATATTAATTTATTTCTTTAATAAAAATAAGTAATTATTTAATCAATTAATAATATAATAATAATAATAAATTAAAAAAATAAAATAATAAATATTAATAAAAACAAATATAAATAATAATAAAATTATTCTTTTGGATTTTATATAATTATTTATTTATATATAGTAACTGCATTTCTAGGTTATAATTGTTTTATAAAATTGTAGAAATATTACTAATATTAATTTTTTAAATTTATTATTTTTTATATAATAACTTGAAAGATTTTGCTCTATTTTCAAAATACAATTTAAGGTTGGGATCGAAAGAAACTTGAAACAATTATTAATTACCTGCGTTTATTTTAATAAAAGATAATTGTTTCTAATCCTCACATGCAATTTTAATATTAAATACAATTTCAATAATGCATATTTATTTATACAGTATTCATTATGTTAATGATATTAAATAATTAATCTACCTCATACTTTATTTCAAATATTTAAATAATAATTTATTCTATTATTATAATATTATTTTATTATTAAAATTCATGCATTGTTCTTAATATTTTTTCTAAAAATTAATAACAGTAAAATTTGAGTACTATATAATTTAATTTAATAAATGTATATAAACAATAATAAATTTAATTTTATTAAAAGTAATAATTTATTTATACAAATTTACAAAAAAATCTGTTTAATTACAATAATAATTATAATTTTGTATTGTATAAATTATTATTTTGCAGCTTCCCCTAACTGGTGAACAGCACTATTAGCCAGAAAATCCACCCTCCGCGATATATGAGAAATTCAAGTCATTAAAACTCGGTCTCCTTGTAAGGATTATTTTTCAAATTTCCAATTTGGATTTCAATCTAGAGGAGGGATCTCTGGGGAAAAATGACTTGAAGATTATCATTCTTGTGCAGTGAAATAATGTGAAGTGCAAAATTCAATGTCGAAGGAGTTTACAATAGAAAGGAAACACACAGAAATTGATGTGAAGAACAGCTGCCCATCTGCGAGAAGTCTACATAAATCTACGAAATGGTGAGTTTAATTAAAATTAAATTTAATCTATTTAATTATTTAATCATAAAATTAAATTTATTCAGTTTTATAATAAATAGATTTTCCACACTTATATTTTTTAAGAATTTCCATTTTTTATTGGTTGTAACAGTGTTGACACGTTAATTGAAAGGTCAAAAAATTTTATAAGTTAGGAAAATTTTTTATTAAAATCAGGGAATTTTCCTCCAAATTCTGAAAAGCAAACTAAATTGTTTGGCATTAAAAATAATGCTAATAATAAAGGGATGGTTATAAAATAACACATTTTTCATTATTAGGTTTTTTTTTTCTTTAATATTAACTTTCGAAAAACTCTTTTGTTTCACAAGATTTGTTGAATTTTGTGCATAATACATATTTTTTTTGTCAATGACAAACACATTTTTTTTTTAAGTCCACCCACTTGAACAATTTTTTATGAACGACTATATCACGAAAATGCAACAATAATAACTACATATAATTACAATTCTCTTTTTTAATCCAGATAATCAATTTTTTTTTCTTTTTAATTATATCCAAATTACAAGGAACAAATACATATAAGAACAATAATTTAAGACATTTAAGTTTTGGTAAATGCTTGAAATTTTCATATTACAATAGATAAAATTGAAATTATTGTCTAAATGATATAAGTGATGAAAAAAAGTGATTGAGCATAAATATTTTTAACTCACTTTCATAATAAATCGTTCATGGACATTTTGTTAAGTTTACAACCGTTCTTTTTTTTAAAAAAAAAAAAATAATAATTTACCGATTTTAAATGATATATTAAATTTTGACAAATATTTCGTGTAATTTGTAAAAAGATTTAAAACTGTGACATAAATTTATCTTAAACAGAAATTTCTTCGAAATCATTTAAAATTTTCTCATCATATTCGGGTTATTTTTTTTCCTTTTTTTTGAGTTTCAACGTTTTCTCTTTTTTTTGTAATACGGGCAAAAAGTTTCTAACTACATTTATGTTTATAAATACATATAATATATACACACACACTCTCCTTCAATCTTAGTATGTATTTTAGATTTGTATACAAACTTTCCTATTTCAAAATTTCAATTAGAAACATTAAAATAAAATTCTTTAAAAATAATATTCAATTAATTTTCAATGGAAAAAATTAATTAAATATTTTATATTATAAAAAAAATAATATTTAAATGAATCGAGTTACAATTAATAACATTAACTAAATTTTCTCGAAATATCGAATTATTTTTTACATTATTGATTTGAATAAATCGCAACTTTCATTTACCGGCAGTAATTAGTAAAATTCACAAAAAAATGAATGAAATTATAATACGGAATAAATATAAAAATTTGGATTAAAAAAAATGTACATTTTGTAATTTTAATTAAAGGCCGACGCGAATAAGTTCTAGCAATTTTAAGTTATTACAATTTTACATCCTTTTGAAGGATTTTAAAAAGTGATGAGATATTTTTTTTTACTCACATACTGTTGTGTGTTTATGTGCAGTTATTATTACAAGAAGAAAATGGTTTTTTTTTTTTTTTTGTTGTTGGAAAAAGTGTAGATATGAAAAATAGAAAGTTAGAATCAAGTTATTAAAAAGTAGATCGAAAATTCCTCCACTTTTAAATTTATAAATAAGGACTTCTTGTTTATTCATAACGGAAAATGATAAATTTATTATCAATATTTTCAAGTCACAATTTTCTATAATATTTATAAATATAATTTGAATTATTTTTTATTCTCGTCACAATTCTAGTAATTACAAATTTTCAAATTAAAAGCTATTTCTAAAAAGCTGATAATTTGTCTTCAACTTAATTATTTGTTTAAAATAAATTCACAAATTTGTAAAATTGATTACAAAATTCTTTAATGAATTATATACAGAAATTCTTTATTTTTCAATTTTTAATATCGGAAATTTAGTTTAATTTCCGTTAAACTTAATCGAATTAAAATTTATCCAAATATTTATTAAATTTCGTGAAATTTTTATTAAAATTGAATTAATTTTTTCTTAATTATTAATTTTGGATAAAATTTGTTTTTTAAATAGACTATTTTCTAAAAATAAATTTCATTCGCTATAATGAATACAAATATCTCAAATTTTGAGATTAAATACAAAATAATTATCAAAATATACAAATATTAAAATTTAAAATTGATTTTCGATCCACTTGGTCATAGTTTTATTTTGAGAGATATTTTTTTTTGTCGTTCATGAAGGGATAAAACATTCTCACGATTTTTATTTTGAATAAACATTTTAAAAAAATCTGTTAATTAAAGAATTATAAATTAAAAATAAATTTAAAAATAATTTAATCGTAAATTGAATTTTACAAATAATTAAATTTATAGGAATTGAATTTTTTAAATAATTTATTTTTATTTTATTAATAAAAATTAATGGTAGTAAAATTACAACATTTTTTGTTAAATTTATATTATAACAAAATCAAAAATATTCTATTTTTAATTTGAAATTGTCCTCAATTTATAATTATTTAATTTATCTTCGATATAAAAGTTTTTTTTTATTATTCAAAATAAAATGTGTGAGAATCTGTCCCAATTCGTGAAATGAATTTAATTATGATGTTTAAACAATTTTTTTTTATCGGTGTCAATTATATACACACTGACATTTTCGTTAATTATCGAAATAAAAAAAAATTGCTTTACAATTTCAAGCAGTCATTAATCAAAGTGCGAATAATTATCGAAAATTAAAATCCTATACATAATTTTCATCTAAAATTTATGTTTCATCGTTTTCTTTTTCTAAATTCTCAAAAAAATTGACAGTCTGATAAAATGTTTGCTTTAAATGTTTCCTCCACTTGGATAAAATGGAAAACCACCAAATTGAAAATTAACTGGTGTTTTTGGCGATGCACAAGTATAGAGAAAATCGTCTGATTGCAATTGTGTTCTATTAAGATTTGGTTCCGAGGTAGATCTAGTAATCTTAGGAAGTCCCCTTAGGAGTGCTTCTAGGCTTGCCAAGATCTGCCGAAATATCGGTCTCTCATCTCGCGAGAATTTAATGCAATCCTCAGTCAATCTTCTCAATGCTTTTGGCGTGTCAGAACGTAATTTATTTAAATCCGGCCGTAAATAACCCCTTCCAACCATAAAGAGAATTTGATCTTTATTATTAATATGCGAATATGGCAATTGTCCGGCTAATAATTCAAATAGAACAATACCAAATGCATAAACATCTGATTGAAAACTATAAGGATTTTCTTCTTGCATTCTTATAACTTCGGGTGCCATCCACAAAATCGAACCCGTTGGCTGATGATATTGTAATGAACCCGACCATCTTGTTTTTGCCGTAGCAAGGCCAAAATCACCAATTTTTACCGTTAAATCGTCATGTAGAAAAATATTATTACTCTTTAAATCACGATGTATGATATTTTTTGCATGTAAATAATCCATTCCTTGCGCTGTTTGTCGACCAATTTCAATTAATGTTAATAGTAAAAAACGTGATTCAAAAACATGTAAATGTTTATAGAGCGATGAACCCTCACACCATTGTGTCACAATAGCTAATTGCGGTTCACTAACACAACCCATAAATAAAAGTATATTAACGTGACGTGTTTTTCTCAATACTGCAACTTCATTTTTAAATGCCTGTAATTGTCCAGCTGTGGGTATTTTTACATTTAAAGTTTTAACAGCAACTGGTCCATGCCAATGTGCTTTATAAACAGTTCCAAATGATCCCGAACCAATACGCGGTCCAACGAGAATTTCTTCAGCCGGTATTTTCCAATCTTCAATTGATTCACGTGGCGCTAATAAATTTTTCGATGATTCATCAGCTGATCTTGCACGTGGACGTTTTGGCCTTAATGTACTTGTTGGACTTGCTTGTGTTGATTGACTGTGTTTTGTTGGGCTACTTGCAGGAGACATGGGATTCTGGGCTGTGCCAACAGGTCGGCTAAGACACTGGGACCTTGAATAATCGTCTAAATTAATATGTTCACCACCAATTCCTGGTTTTACCATATTAAAACAGACATTAGGCGCAGAGCTTGATCGATCCTGTTGTCCAAGTAGTCTAGGTTGCCTAGTACTCCTGGAAGTAGCCATTGTTGTCGATAAACCATAACCCGATGGTAATTGTAATATTCCAGCAGTTGTCTCTGGATTATTTGCAAGTAATACTTGATAATATGTATCTTGCATTCTTGTTTGATGACATAGTGCTGGCACACCACCGGCGCAACGTTGATGAAAACGATAATTACACGTGCGACAATAAAATCCTTGAAATAATAATTTACGACAACATTCACAAAAAGCGAGGGAAAAAAATGTTTTACGAACAAAATTATGTGATATCGATGTGGCTATGGGAAATTTGTCATGTATTTCAACTGATATTTCATCACATTCGAGTGATGATATATCCGTGTCCCATGGTATTGCATGTTTTGAATCATTTGTACTTACAATGTAAACCATACACATTTCGGTTGTTAAATTTCTTAATTTCATTGCTTTTGCGAGAGCATTTTTTAATGAAAGACCCTCACGTACTTGTACACTTGTACGTTGTTGATTTGGTAGATAAGCTCGTAATAGTGATTTTAATGGTGTTCGTGGTGTACGAAATTTATTTGATGAATGTGAATCGTTATCTATTTGTACAGGAACTTCAATTGTTGTTGTTGTTGTAATTGTCGAATTGAGCAGTTCATTTAACTTTTGTTGTTTGGATTCCAATTCGTGTAATTTACTGGTGAGTTCTTGATATTCTGTTAGGTAGATTGAAGGTGGATCTTGAAAACCAGCAAATCTGTTATTGAGCGCTTCAATATTTTGACGCATCACGTGAATCACGCTCTGGATATTGCGCAGTTCGTATCTGTTGATTTTAATAATATAATTAGTATTTTCTTTCTTTAATATTCGAATGAGATTTTTTATTTATTACACAAAATTATATTAGACATTTTCATTCAGTTATCGATAATTTCGACAAATATTCTAGGGATTTTTTTCTATTATTACAACGACGGTGAAATTCACATGATCAACAATTTAAAAAAAATTTCATTGGAAAAATTAATTAATTAATTTTAATTATTTTTATTTAATTTTTTTAAATTCCTATATTAACCATTAAAATTATAATACATTCCTCAATTATCGAAACATCTTATCATTTTACAATCTCCATAATCTTATGAATTCAGTTAAAAACAATTTGACAGTAAAAGATAAAAAAAAAGATTTTTATATTTTTATTTGAATCAATTTTCCTTATTTTACACTTGAAAAAAAAATTAATTTGTTTTCTTTTTTATTTTAATTTAAATTAGAATCTTAAATTTCGTAGAATTTTTAAAAATGAGTCTGACAAAGAAAGGTATTTTCTACTTTGAATAAGTCTATTAAAAAGATTTGATTTTCAAAGAGAAATGTAAATTATTAATAAAATATTAATTATAATTTAAATTAATTTAAATTAAATTTCTTCCTAAATTTATAAAAATTTATTCAAATTCAATTATTATTCTAATGAATTTAATGAAAATTATAAAATTAATTTCATGATACTTCTTTTAAATATAGACAATCTCTGTCTGTCAAGAACAGGTATTTTCTACTTTGAACAATTTTTTAGAGGAATTTCTGAGATAAATAAAAAAGAAATGGAAAATAATATTAAAAAAAAAAAAAAAATTACGAAGTAAAGAAAGAAATTCTTAAGAAATTAAAAAAAAATCACCTCAGAGGATCAGTTTCCAAGCATCCATCCTCTGGATCACTGAGTTCACTTTGATCAGCACTTCGCGAACACGACATCGTGCTCTCGAGAGCCGATCGACTCTTTCTTTTCCTATGATGACGGTACGGCGAGGATATATTTGTAATTCCTTTATTTTTACGACAATGAATTTCTTTTTGTTCTTTCACGTGGACTACTGGCCGAAACCTGTTGAATAAAAAATTTTCCTTTATTTTCATAATTTTTAAAACTAATTATTCAATAAAAGCAGAAATTGAGTAAAACAAAATTAATTAATTAAAGGAAGAAAATTTAAATAAATTAATTTAAAAATTAATAATAATCTAATAATAATAATTATTATTATTTAATTTTTTTTATTAAAGAAAGTAATTTAATAAAATAATAATATTAAAAATATTCATTTTATAAAATAAGGAAAACGGTTATAATATTGTAAAATTAATTTAGTTTGATAAAAATAACTATATATAGGCATTATATTGTAATTAAGTGTAGGTAATTTTATATATACAGTGTATAATTAACATTTTACATTATTCTGACATTTTACGTTGTGTGCTATCTATAAATATAAGTTTTATTGATAATCATTTAAAGGCCAGTAAACAGATTGTATTATTTACATTTTCAAAGATCAAGTTTCTGACAGAAAGTAACATTTAATTTAGAAAGGATTGACAAGTTGCTTTGTCAGCATTTTTCTCCTTGATTATAATATAGACAACAAAACAAAAAAAATTTGCCAATTTCGAAATTTCCATTCTCTCTTCAAACATTTATTTCTTCTCTCAAATAGTTTAAAATTTCTATCCGAGTTATTTTGAAAAAGTCATTGTTTAAAGATTAGATTTATTTTTACGTAAAAACAAATTATTTGGATTTAATCAAAATTCGTAGAATAGTATTTTTATTATTTATTCTTATAATTTTTACTCCGATTCTTTAATTACAAAATCATTAAACAATTTACAATTAATTAATAAAAAACAATTTTTATTATTATTTAATAAATACTTATTAAATATTTAATAAAATATGTTATGAAAATATAAATTAATTTGAAATAAATTTAATATTTAAAACTAATAAAAATATCGTTTACATAGCGTTAGAAAAATTCTAATATAATTATTTTAAATTACAAATTTATATTTGTCACAGACGGAATTTCCAAAATCTTTCTTTCTCTCTTTGACCCCTTTGTTTATTCGAAAAATGGAAAGGCAAAAGAAAGCCACACTGCTAATAATAAATTGGTGATGAAAGAAAGGAAGTAAATTTGCAAGATGAATATCCTTGAATAAAAAATTGCCCCAACACCGATTGGAACAAAAAAAGTTAATTGTTCAAAAAAAGGAAGATTCGAAGACAATAGATATGAATTCTTTTTTGATTTTAATTTTTTTTCTAAATATACCTGGATTCGCCGATCACGGCCATCTTCCTGAAGGATAGAACATCCTGATTTTGTGTCTCCTCGTTTGCGGTACTCAAATTACTCCTGTAACCGGTGCTGCCAGAGCCGGTTGACCCTCAAATCAATCTGTTGTCGCTTGATATCTAAACGATATATACAATATATGTATATATACACACATCAAAAGACGCTCACCGTATTTTAAAACACTGTTGTCTTCCTTTTTTTCGTCCCTCTTTCTCTCTCTCTATCTCTCTTTCTCTCTCTCTGTATAAAGATCCCTATATTGTGATTATAGGATTTTGTCTTTTTTTTTTCTTTTTTTATAAAGTAGATTTAGTGAAGAATTTTTTTATATGCCGCAATTTTTGTACGCGCGAAATTCATTTGCACGCTCGTCAGTTAATATTCTCATCGGTGACACATGCACTAGGTCTTCGATATGCCTCCTTACCTGGTTCTCTCGGAGAGCTACCGAACGAAAACTGGCACGAGATGCCGAGAGAGAGAGCCGAGGACGAGGTCAGTGCCGTAGATATTCAATTGTGATAGCAGGGACGTTTTTTCTCTCTCTCTTTCTCTTTCTCTCTTTTTCGCGAGCACAAAAAACGTCGATTATATTATTATTATTCAGACAGGAGAATTATTTTTTTCTTCGATTATCCAAAGAAGGATATAAATATTTTTCTATTATCTTGATTTTTGTTTCTTTTATTTGATGCTCCGAAAATTCATCACTCTGGAAAAAAATTGATTTCTTTTATTATTTATATAAAAATAAAAATAGATTTTTATTAATTTAGGGTATTTAGGGTATTTCGAATTATGAAATAGCTACTTTCTTCTCACGAATAATTAATTCTGATGAAAATCGATTTGATCCACTATTTATTTATTGATAGATTTACGAGGGCTTAAAACCCTTTGGTACAAAGTACTTAACAATAATATAATTTAAAAAAGGCTGAATAACAAACAAGTGAAAATTTATTGATGATTAATCATTTTATTTTAATTAATTTAAAATAATTATTATTTTAAATTAATTAAAATAAGACAATTGTAATTAATCATCAATAAATTTTTACTTGTTTGTGAAAATGTTTTGAAAATTGAAAAATGTTTTGTTTACTTTTATTATATTTTTAAATACTTTGTACCAAAGTATTTTAAGCCCCTGTAAATCTATAAATAAATATTTGTAATAATAATTAATTAGTAAATTATTATTATTAATATTTAATAAAATTAATTAATTTTTTTACAAAATGTTTTCAAAATCAATAATAAATGCAAATAAAATTTTAAAATAAAATTTTTTTCTACAAATTTATATTATTTAAAAAAGAATAATTCTGTTAATAATTATTAAATTAAATATAAAAATGATTTATTAAATGAAACGAAATTGAATAATTTATCCGTAATACTCACCTTATTAATTGGTACGTATTTCATTTAAAATTGCGAGAAGAAATTTGGTTTTTTAAAATTTCATAATTAAGACTTTATTTTTTCGAAAATAGTTTCCAATCTTGTATTGACTCTTCTTAATTCATTTAAGTTTATTATTTCTTAACTCATATTTGATCACATTGAAAAAATATCATATCGCCTCCAAAAATCTACAAAATATAAAATTTGACTTACTATACATATCTAATTATACAAAATTTTTGCGGTATTTATTTATGTATGAAATTTGCAATTTTATTTTACTATTTTCATTATCTTAAAAAATTGGATTATTTATTTCTCTTTTTAATTTTATTTTTGAAAAAGACTCCCAAATTTTCTTTAAATAGTTACGTTGTTGAGAAATTTACTTTCGAATGCGCAACTCCGATTTCACGGATTACGATCACAGTCACATGTTTTCGGGTTCGAGAACCCCCTTTTTATTTTTTTTTTTAAACAATATACCTAGATGAAAAATTTTGTTTTAAATGAATTTTTTTTATAAAAGAAGTCAATATTCGTATTTAAATATTCTTTACAATTTGCCATTGTATAATTGATCGTCACTACTTTGTCAAATATATATTTATAGTAAATTCTTTAGTTAAAATTACCCGCGTCTTGTTACAAAAGTAAAAAGTGTCACGTGACATTACTTGCTACTTGTTAATTATTCAATAGCGATATTCAAAACGTATTTAATTAACATATATAAAATATTATTTATCTTATGTTCTTTTTTTATATAAAATATGGAAATTTTTTTTCAACTGAATTAATTATTTTTTATTCTTTTGTATCTTCGTCAAAAAATTTTTCTATAGAAATTTTTAAATAATTTATATTTAAAATTTAAATTAAAAGCGAATTTAATAAAATTTTAATTTATTATTATTTATAGGTATTGCATTACATTTATATATAAAGTAAAATAATAGTGAAAAAAAAGATAATATAATTACATTCTAAAAAAATGGATCCTTTATAAATGTTCTCTCTAAAAAGAATCTACTCTAATTTTTTTTTACATTTATTACTATTTTCACCAGGACTAAAGTCTCAGATATTAAATTCTATGGTAATTGTGAAGACTTTCTTTCTTTTTCTCTGTGCGCGGGCTAAATTACGTCACGTTTAACCTTTTACAGATGAGAGAACTCTTTTCGGAGTTTTCTTTTTTTTAATAAATTCCTCGAGGATCTACTTTTTTTATTTTGTTTTTCTATTTCTTTAAAAAAAAAATTATTTACTTTTTTTTAAGGGAGAATTTCAATTGTCGTCGCATATAAATTAGTAAATCGGTGTAGACATTTTTTTTTTTATTAGTTCTTCTCATACCTCATCTCACTTTCGTCAATATATAAAATCATTATTCCACTAGTTGCGTCGTCTCGAATTATATATCCTTCCAATCGTCGCGCTATGAAGCGAATAACTCAAGTTCAATTTTTCTGTAAACATGACCACTCACGTTGCATTCCTTGACGTCAGTACTGTCGGCTTTGACGTCAGTATATAACGCGCAGATGATATCGTTGCTAAGGGTTACGCTGGATGAGAGTGAGAGAGAGAAAGAGATCTTTTCCCTTTTAAGGTGATTCCTCAACTTTGCGAATTTTGGAGCAGTAAATCTAAAAACAAAATTCATATTAGAAAGAGATTTTTATACAAAATTGGAGAAAAAAAATTGCTAATTATTTTTTTGTAACCTTTTCTCAATTTCTTTCAAATTGAGATAGTATAAAAATATATTTTTTTAAATAATTAAAAAAAAAATTTTAAACACATTTGCTATTTAAATAGTAAATTTTGCAATTTTTAAATTTTTTGTTTAATTTTAATCAGGAGATTGTTTTAATTTTCGTTTTCGATTTAGTTTTGAGTGGGAGAAAAGTTTTAAGTGAAGATTTGCCTTAAGGTTGTATAGTGTACTTTGGTCTGCTTCGGTCTTTTTTTCAGTGAATAAAAACAGGTGGATTTAAAAAAATAACGAATATTTAATCACGTTTAATTTCTACTTAAGTGAAATAGAAAAGTAATTTCTTTGGATGATTATTTTGTTAATTCTTCATTAAATTTTTATTTTCTGTCTTTTAATTTTTGTGATCGTCATTATTTATATCTACATATATACATTATAAAGTCCGTATTATTGTTAAAAATAACGATGTCGAAAATTGTAGCAGGAAAGATCGCTTTTGTCACAGGTTATTTTCATTATTGTTTTTTTTTTTTGTGGAATTTTTTTGTTAGCATAAATTTCGTTTCGAATAGTTGACATTGAATTTTGTGGTATATTTTTTAGGTGCCGGTAGTGGCATTGGAAAAGCCACGTGTCGTATTTTGGCTAGGGAGGGAGCAAAAGTCATTGCAACTGATAAAAATTTAAAAGCCGCCGAACAAACTGCATCGTTTTTAGAAGGTTTGATTTCGTTAGCTTTTTGCCAGAGGGTTGTCAATTAAATTATAAATTAAATATTAGAATACTTAAAATTTTTAAATTACAACAATTTAGATTAAATAATTAAAATAATTAGAATTTAATGATAATTTTAAAAAGTATTTTAATTTCTGATTGTAAATTTTAAGGGATGATTTTTAGGCTTATACGATTTTTTCTAATTATTTTAGAACTAAATCAGTTTATTTAAATTTTTCGTGAAATTAAATTTAGGTTCAGGACATTTGGCAATGGAAATTGACGTCAGTAATACAGAAAGTATAGAAAATGCATTTAAAAAATGTGTAAATCATTTTTCAAAACCACCAACTGTTGTTGTTAATTCTGCTGGTATAACACGTGACAATTTCCTTTTGAAAATGAATGTTGATGATTTCGATGAAGTGCTGAAAGTAAATTTAAAAGGCACTTTTAGCACATGTAAAATTGCTGCTAATCAAATGATTGAAGCCGGTGTTTCTAATGGCGCATCAATAATTAATATATCGTCGATTATTGGCAAAATAGGAAATATGGGACAATGTAATTATGCGGCATCGAAAGCCGGTGTTGTCGCTCTAACAAGAACAGCTGCCATGGAATTTGGAATGTAATTAGAAAAAAAAGAGAAAAATACTTTTAAAATTTAATTAATTTACAGTGATCATAGTGCCTTTTTTTAAAAATAGGTGAAAAGATTATTTTTTACCAAAAAAAGGTAATAAAAAATTAAAAGTTAAATTAATGTGAAAAATAACTAATTTGTATAAATTCAAATTTGGATTAATTGAAAATTAATATTTTTAAATTTAGGTAAATTGAATTTTAAATAAATTGAAACTTAAATCAATCAAAATTTAGATAAATTAAATTTCAAATTGAAACTGAAATAGATTTATCGAATAAATTGAAATGACCTGTGATCCCTGATTAATTAAATTTACAAAGTATTAAAAAATCGCTTCGAAAAATGAAAAAAAAAAAAAAAAATTATAAAAATAGTTTTATCTCGCTCTTTATTTGTCTAAAATTATTTCAGGTTTGGTATTAGGGTGAACGCAATTCTTCCTGCATTTATTGAAACTCCAATGATTGCTAGTGTTCCTGATAAAGTGAAAGAAATGTTTATTGGTATGATTCCATTAAAAAGAACAGGGAAACCAGAGGAAGTTGGGGAAGTTATAACATTTTTAGCATCGGACAGAAGTTCCTATGTTAATGGAACAAGCATTGAAGTTACTGGTGGACTTTAAATTTAAATATTATATTTAGTGGATATAATTTTATACATTGTTTTGGGGAATATTTTTTTTTTTTTGTATACTTATAATATAAAATATAACAACGAATTGAAATATAGAAATTATTTTTAAATACTATACCAAAATTTAAAAAAAAAAACTATTTTTTCTTTCCCTTGAGTCGTTTTGCGTGTCGATGTGCCTTGTAATTACGTTTATTTTTCTCCTCAATAATTTCTTTATATTTTCGTTTATTATATTTGGCAAATTCTGCATCTGCCATTAATTCATCGACAATTGTACGTTTACGTTCTTTGTTTGTCATACGACCACTATAATAATCCAATGGTGAATCGATAACTTTGCCAATTTGAAAATATTTTGGTAATGTTTTCATATCATTTCTCTTGTAGAATTGTTTTGGATCGAGAGCCGATCTCATTTGAATTATTTCAAGATCACGTTTTACTTCCTCGGTCATTGGTGTTGCTGGTAAATTGAACCATTGTTTTCCTTTTGTTTTGTCACGTTGTCGTTTACGTCTTTCTTTTAATTTTTTATCGCTTACATCGTAACCGGGTATTTTTTTTAATTTTTCAAAACCAGGTTTTATTGACGATTTTTTGAGTATTTTTTTTAATGGATCCATTTCTTGTAACATTTCCTCAACATTTGTTACATTTAACGGTTGTTTTCGCCTTTCATTCGTCCAACCCATGTCTCTTTCAAATTCATCGAGATCAAAATCTTTTGCCGGATTTATTTTCGCTTTTTTTGCCTTACGGGTGTGTAATTTTATCCTCGTTGGATCAAATTCTGAAAATTTGTTTTAAATTACTGAGAATTATAATAGCGGAAAAGAATGTTAATTTTTTGAGGTATATGAAAATATGCGTTTATATTTTAAAAAAAAATATTGGAAACATTGATTTAATGGGTTGTTTATAATTTTAAGATGAAAACCATTTTTATAAATTAGAAAATAAAAATACTTCTTGATTGAAAAAAAAATTATTTTCTTAAAATATAAGTGTGGAAAATTAATTAAAATATTTATTTGTAGAGAAATATGCTTTTTTTCTTGAAAATATTGACTTTTATAAAAGAAACATGTGGTAAACATAACCTATAATTTTTTTTCGTTTGATGAACTTACCAATTCCGTCGTAATCAAGATCATCATCGCTCTCCACTAATTTTGTTTTTTCTTTAAGATCATCTTGACCTTTTGTATCAATTATTATATCCATTGTGTTTTTCTTATAAATTAATTAGCACCTTTTAAATTAACATTTGAAAATTATAATGCAAAACACATTGACTGACAATACGATGTGAAGTTATTATTAAGGCGCTCTCACACCTTTTTGGCTGCCTGCAGGTTACCATGGCAACGCATGAGAGTGAGTGCGACAGAAAATTTAAAAATTTGAATATTCAAATTTTCTGTCTCACTCACACTCGTGCGTTGCCATGGTAACCTGCAGGCAGGCAGGCAGCCAAAAAAGGTGTGAGTGCGCCATTAGAACATCGATTCGATATATCGCTGTTTTTCTCGCGCCTTTATTTGAATTTTTTTTTTTTATTTTGGATTTTAAAAATTATTGAAAAAAATTAAATAATTAACAAAATAATAATGTAAATATAAAACTTATCTATAATTTTTTAATTAAAACATCATAGTTTAAATAAAAATTATTTTAATCGAAACATTTTTAATTAAATACACACTGAAAGAAGTTTGACTTTAATTTACAAGTAACAATTACAGTTGGTTTTTTCTTAAATATATTATTTCGTATTTTCTCATTTAACTTTATTCGAATTCTTCTTCTTTAATTAAAACTAATTCAAATTTATTAGTAGTTTTTTCTTCTCGTTGAATTTTGTTTTCTATAATACAAATTTCCTCAATATCATCATTTTCATCACATTTTTTATTTTTGACCATTGAGTTTTCCTTTTTCTTCTTTGTTTTAATTTCTTCACATTTTTCATTTGTTGAACCAGATGTCTTTTGACATTTTTCGGTAATTTCCGAATTTTTTAAATCTAATTCATCGTATAATAATTGTTTATAAAAATTGTCTGTTTTTGCCCTTAGAAATGGTATCAATGACAAAAGATCCATTTTTTTCTCTTCGCTAATTGATGCTCTTGGCAAAATTTCCAATTTCATTGTCCTAAGATGTTGCAGTGAATCATTTAAATTAATCATTTGAAAACGATTAGTTGATGACCATCCGGTTTTATAAAAAATTCCCTGTTTTGTATAACGTAGACATTTGACATTTTTCTCATTAATAAATTCATGATTATTGGGAAAAATTTCATCGCGAATAATATTGAAATTATAAAAATTATTTCGCGTTTTTATTTCACATTCTGAATCTTGCATATATTTTCGAAATGCCACGTACCAATCGTTTGGTTCATGAATTTTATTCTGATGATAATTTATTATTTCCTGTACATTTTTACTACCGAGGTTCACTTCAATTTGTGAATGTCCGGCTATTAAAAATTTATGTTCAACACTTTCGAGTTGTTCATGATTTATTACTGAATATAAAAACATTGCGGCAAGATTTTTACTCATTGTATCCTCATTGCATGTGGAGTAGAAAATAACTTTTGTTATGCGTGATGGTAAATTTTTTAAATATAAATATAAACAGGAGGCAATTTCATTAATTGTTCGTTTACCTTCATTTTCATTCCATAAATAAAATTTACGTACTTTCTCATCTTTTTTTGAACATTGATTGCGTATTGTGAAATTATAGGTCCAGAGACGTTGTTTATAGTAGGAATTTGGTTCAGTGAGATAAGGTGTTGGTAAACTTTGTTGAAAACCAAAAGAACAGACGAGAAGTTGTTTTTCATTTTTTGTATTACTCTCATCTAATGATTGTTCATTATTTGCTTCTTCGGAATCAATTAAATGTGCCGTGCGATGTGAATTTATTTTACTTTTCTCACTTAAATCACGCGCTACTTTATATTGAATTGCAGCTGCGCTACATACATTACATTTTGTTAAAAATGATGAACGAAATTTTAAATTAGTTTTCTCTAATAATTTATTATACCAAATATTACTAATTGGCTGTGTCATTTCTTGTTTATAAAGATCGTACATTATTTTTGTTGTTAAACCCATTGGTAAATATTTTTCTAAACTTTTATCATTATAATGATAACTTTCACAGAGTGGAAATTTGTTTAAATGTTCATGAAATTTTTTTATATCATCTTCTGATGGATCTTCACATGTTGAAAGAATATTTTTTTCAATTACTGTTTCTTTACCATATTTTTGTAATATCTTTTCCAATTCTTGTTCAATGAATTTTTCTCGTCTTGATTTCAGACGAAAATTAACAATTGGTATCTTCATTCTTGGCATTAATTTTAATTCCTCTTTATCAATTTTCTTTTTAGTTACACGTTTTTTTTTTGGTTTATTTGTTGTTTCGTTTTTCTCATTTGTTTTCTGTTCTTTTGTTTTTGGCTCTTGTTTAATTGTTGGTATTTGAATATTTAATTGTTCTTTGGTGTTATTGATATTTGAATTATTATTTGAAATGATTTTGGCAATTTTTTCCGGTGGACCTGTGTATTTTTCTGTTTCCAATTCAATGTCATTTTCAAGATCAACTTCTTCTTTTATTATTGATAATCCAAGAAATGGTTCATTATTCTCGATGGAAATTTGACTTGATTTTCTTTTTAAAGGCGATAATGATGATTCTGTTAATTGATTTAAAGGGCTCTTCGAATCTTTATCTAAAAAAAATGTTAATAATTTTAATGCAAATTGAATAAATAAAATATGAGACTATAATTTTCGTATAAATAAATTAGAATTAATGTTAAAAAGAAAAACTCACCTAAAATATTATTTTCTTCTTCACATTCTGTTTTTATTTTAATACTTTCTTGACTTGAATTACTTTTTAAATTAAAAATTTCAAGCTCTTCTTTCTTATCTAAAAATAAAATTAAAATTTACTTATTCACATTAATTAAAATCGAAATTTTTAAATTAAACACAAAAATTTAGTTTTTAAATGCATCTATATAATTGTGAAACTAACCTGTGACAGTATCTTCTTCTTGACTTTCCATTTTTGCAATACAATAATTCGAAAAATTTGTTTCATTCACATTTTCTTGATTTGCATTATTTTCTGAATTGCTTTTCATCTCCACATCTTCATCTAAATTGAGAAAATAAAGAAGTAAATTATTATCTCAAATTTATTAATTCATACATAATGAAAAATTATAATTTAAAATTTAAACTTACCCGGAATATTAATTTCATCTGTACATTCCATTTTTAATACAACTTCATTAATAGAAATTGGATTTAAATTTGTGTTTTCAATTACTTCTTGTTTAACATTTAATGAATCATTATCTTCGAATTCGTTGTCATCATTTTTTACAAAAGAATTCAATACCATTATTTGCTCAACATGATTTACAGCACTTTCCAATTTGGATTCATCAGATTTTATCTTTTTTTGTTTTTGACAAGAAGAAGAAGAAATCATTTGTTTATTTTTTAATTTCAACTGAACGCCATATTTGTTCATTTTATTTTTTACAGTATTTACAATGAATTCAAATGATTCATTAATAAGTCTTGTAAAACATGATTGACAAATTGTAACAATTCCATTTTCAGTATGAAGACAAAATTCCATTTTATTTTCATAATTATAATCATCAACGCAATTTGTTTTTTTATTAAATGAAATTGTTATATTTTTAATCATATCGCAAATAAATTTCTCACGTGCATCAATACTTTTATCCTGACAATAATAATCATAAAAAATTCGATTCCTATCGTTTTTTGTTAATTTCTTGCAACATTTTTTATAACAATTTTTTAGTAATGAAACACCTTGTCTCATTTTTATTTCACAATGTGCAATACAATTATCGCATGTAATTTGATTTTCCATTTCATTTGTTTCTAATGTTCGTGGTTGAAGTATTTCGTCTTCGTAAAATACAAATGTCATATTTGAATTTAGAGGAATTATACTGAGTTCTGTAAACGAAAAAAAATGAATTAGTAAAATAATTTTCAATTTGTTTTAAAATAACTTACCTATCATTTTGTAAAGTTTTTGATGAAAAATAGCGGACATAAAGGTTTCGGACACATCGAGAATATGATAAAAGCAATATTTGCAAAATTTCTGACGACCTTGATGTGTGACAAAATAATATCCAGTACGAAATATCATTTTATTTAATTTATCACAATTTTCATGAAGAATAAGTTCCGTACGACCATTAATGAAATTAAAACGTGAATCAAATGATTTCTTTTCCCAATAAGTGAGGAAAATATTTCTCTGTTCATTGTCGGTTAATTTTAAATGACAATTATTGATACAAGGAAGCAATGGACTCCAATTGTGTCTTTGTTTTGTTGGGCATTTACAAAATTTTTCATTTAAATAATACATTTTATTCATTGTCTCTTCATTGTGTTCTGGTTGTAAATGTTGACTTATCAATGTACTATTATAATCATCATAATCATCATCATCATCATCATCATTATTTTCATTCTTATTTTTCGATTTTACAATAATGGAAAAGTAAATGTCATCGAGAATTTTTTTTATAAAACTATGACTTATTAGAAGAACAGTTTTAAAGCAAAGTTTACAAACTTTTTGCATTCTCATTGTTGTGTTTACATAAAAATAGAAAAATGTATGGTAACGTCTATTTGATGGTGTGTGACTACGATATGATAGCGTTGGTTTAACATCAACCATTTCGAGTATAAATTTTGTTCTCATTTTATTTGTTGTATCTTTCCAATAGGATACGAAAATTTCTTTTTGTCTATCATCTGTTATTAATAAATTACAACCACGTGAACATGGTTTCAATGGTGTCCATTCGTTGAGTAATATTTCAAAAGGAGGCTGATGAAAACGTTTTGTAATTGTCGAATCATCATTATCTTCATTCTCATTGTTATAATTATCATCATCATTATCATCTTCGTTATCATCTTCGATATCAACTTCAACATCATCTTCGTTATCATCACCATCATCCTCATTGTCATTATTTACCGAAGTTGTGGAATGACAATTATTATCGTCAATTTCAAACTCTGTGGCATTAACATTTTGAAGATGATTTTCATTAAATTCAAGTTCAGGTTCAACAATTCGTGGTTTTCTTTGTAAAGCATCCAACATAAATACTTGCGATTCATTAATAACTAAACGAAAACAACTTCTACATACTCTCTCTCTACCTTTACTTGTATTGAGATAAAATGCATTCCAAAAAACTTTTTTTTTCTTTACACTTACCACCATTGAATCAATAAATTCATATCTTGATTCAGGTGTTGAATTCAGCCAATAGGAATTAAATATATTTTCCTGATCGTTTACACTTATTCTTGTGACACAATTATGTTTACAATTTTCCAAGCGTCGCCAACCTTTTGATAATTTACTTTCAATGACTTTGTCATTTTTTAATATTGTTTGAAAATTTCTTGATTCTTCAACTACTTGTTTCACATAGGTAACATTTTCTGCAGAAATAAAAAAAAGAAATTAAAATTAATACATTTAAATTATAATTTATATTATATTTTTCAATATATTAATTGACTTACCCCTTACTCTTTTGATTTTTTCCTCCACAACTGAATCCAAAAATATTTTTGAAATATCAAGAACAGAAAGAAAGCAAATTTTACAAATACGACGTGGTTTTCCACGTGTACTGAAAAATAAAAATTTTGCACGTTGTAAAGCTAATTTTGGTATTTTCCATGAATTTTTTGGTAATTCAGTTAATTCAATGATATAATTGATTCTCGATGTTAATTTTTTATTCCAAAATAAATAAAAACTACGTTTACTAGTGTCTCTTGTTATATTTAAATAACAACCACAACCACGCGCTGATAATCTTATATTATATTTATCCTCTAAATAATTGTTAACACATGCATATTTTAAATTTTCCATTGTCTCAAATATATCATCAAAATTATCCTCCTCATTATTATCATCATTATCATCATTCTTTTCGTTTATGTCTTTTAATTCTTTTTCCATATCAATTATTTTTAATTCATGATTATTTTTATCTGTCAATTCTTTTTTATCTTCCTGATTAATTTCCATATCCAAATCAATAATTTTTTCCGATGTCTCATTTTTCGATATTTCAATTGTATTTGATAATTGTAATTTAAAACATTTTATTTGCAATGCTTGATGAATAAATGAATGTTGTTCATTAAGAGCAATTGAAAAACAAGATCGACAAACATTAACAATTCCCATATTTGTATAAAGATGATAGGAAAATGTAATTTTTGAATTCTTATATGAAACATCTGTCATGTCTGAGATAAATTTATATCTCTCTTCTCTTGTTGATTTAAACCAATAAGAGACGAAAATTTTCTTTTGCTCTTCCTTTGATACACCTGTTGAACACATATTTTTACAATCAGGAATTCTCATCCAACCAAGTTTTAATATTTTCTCCCTCAATGCAGTGTCATCCTCGTCAAGATTTTCCTCATCAATAATATTAATTGTTGTTACTAAATTTTTCAATTCATTAAACTCTTCATTTGAACCTGAATTATTGACGGCACAATTTGCTTTCTTCATTTCTAAAAAAAGAAAACGAAAAATCCATTAATAAAAAATAGAAATAATTAGAGTTGCCGTAAGAATAATATTTTTCAATTTCCCTGACATAAAAAAATTTTTCCTAACAAACCAATGTTATTTAATTTAATAGAAATCTAATAATTTTAAACTTAAATTAATTAACGTGCAATATAACTAATTTGTATTTTTTTTTTATATGTTTCAGGTGAGTTGAGCTGACTTATACCAAAATCTCCAATTGCATTCAGACTACTCAGGTAATTTAAGGCATTATTGAATTTTTGATACATTGAAACTTAAATTAATCAAAAATTTGGATAAATTGAAATTCCAATAATTTTTTCAATTTCCTATAAATATTTTTTTATCTCCCTAACTTCCGTGACTTGTGGCTATCCTGATTAATAAATCAGAAAGAAAAAATTATTTTCGAAATTTGAAAATTAAATTTTTCTTCTTTTGATACTTACGTTTGCTGTATTTAAATTTATATCGAAAATACAAATTGAGAAAATCCCTTGTCATATGCATACAACACATGAAACACATTTTACAAACATTTTTACGTTCTGCTCTTGTGCTGAGAAAAAATCTTGAATAATGACGATTACTCGTTGTTTTAAATTCAGTTTCAATTAATTCGTTCATTAATTGAAATTTTAAATCCTGCGTTTTTCTTGTACGAAATTCATTATATGCTTCCTTTCGATCAATCTCAGATACTTTTAAATAACATTTATGTAAACATAATGAAATACGTGATTTGAATTGATTTGCATCATTCTCGCAATCATTATCTTCATCAACATCATTATTATCTTCGTCATCGATATCATTATTGTCTTTTGTTTTTTCTTCATTATTTTCATTTGATTCAGTTACTAGAGGATCATCTAAGGGATGTAAATTATTATCTTCAATATTAGATTGTGTATCTAATATATCAATAAATGTATTCGAAGCATTGTTTTCATGGAATGAATAAGTTTTCACATCATTCTCAATTTCATCATCGAGATCTATTACTTCTATTTCGTCGCTGTCATCTGGTTAAAAAAAAATTAGAACAAAAAATAAATTTTTCCCTCGTATGCAAAATAAATTAAATGATTTAAAAAAAATAATAATAATAATTGAAGACATTTTTGAAGCCATATTAATTAATTAAATAAAAGATCTAAATAAATAATAATTATAATTTTAAATTTTCCGAAGAGTATAAAAATTTTACAAAAAAAAACTGGGTTTTACAATCTTTTTTTTGTCATTAATGCGCCATAATAGAATTATGTCAACTTAACCTCAAATTTTGCAGAAAAATATAAATTGCACACAAATTTGCAATAGTTTGGAAAATTATTATTATTTAAAAAATACATTTAAATAAGTATTTAAAAAAATATTCTTTTTCGTATATTAATATGATTTACAGGTGATAAAAACCAAAAAAAATTATCATTATATGCAAATTTTTTATTTCGTAATTCAGTAATGATTTACCTTCGATAGTAATGCATGACACGGTAGATGACTTTAAAACAGAATTAATATCTGTTTCATTATTCATTTTTTAATGAAAAATTCAATTACATATATAATAAATAATTATTATTTTTCTCGTTGCGAAATATATGTAAATATAGTTCATAACCAAACTTTTATCTAAAATGTCACCAACTTCACATCAAACATTCGATATTAATCGAAAACTATCGTATCGTTATTTTCATCGATAAATGATAATTACTAACTTCACATAACAGCTGATCACACCTGTCAAATGTGTGTTTTGATGTCAAAAAAAGAAATTATAAACATATGTTTTCTTTTCTTCAATAATTAATTAATTGAAATATAAAATAATGACAAGTTGACAAAAAATAGTGAATATTTTACTTAGTAATTATCATCGCTTGTGCAATTATGATTGAAATAACAGCAAAATTAATAAGAGGGCCCGTTTATTTTTCGGGTGAAATGGTGGAGTGTTTAGTGACATTTAGCAATCCTCATAATCCAATTCATCAAATTTCACAAAGTCACAGGTAAGTGTTAGAATTTTAATTAATAATTTTAATTATAACTTTATAGTAATGTTTTTGTTTATATAAAAAATATTCACTTAGAGGTTATGTTTACTTTTAAAGGTTTTTTTTATTTACATTTTTTGTTTATTTATATAATGTTTTAAAGGGATAACGATATTATTAACTTGATAAAAATATTTATTACCACAAAGATTTTCTTTTACCAATTATTAAATATTTGGTTAAATAACTTAATTGAACGTTGTTATTTTAATTCTTAAACATGAATGACGATCTAATTTTTTTTTAATAAAAATTAATTACTTTATTTTTTCCAGTGATGTATTTGAAAGTTTAGCATGGGCGAGTGCCCAAATTCACTGTCAATGTACAGCAAATGGAAAAGTGGTTTTAACAGAAAAATTAAACACGACCTCTCAATTGGCCGCAATAAATGCCAGTAAGTATTTTTTTTTTAATTACTTTTTTTCTTTTCATAATTTTTATGATTAGAAATACTTAATTATCACAGTTAATTAAATTAATTAACAAATAAAATTAAATATTTAAAGATACAACATTTGCTCCATGGCAACATGATAATGGTCACGCTGTTATGAATACAAAACCTAAAATATTATTCTGTGATCTCCGATTATCACCTGGCGAAAATAAAACTTGTAAGTAGTTTCCTAAATTTTGCCTGATAATAATGATTTTTTATTTTATTATTTTTTTAATTGAAATTTACATTTTTAAATTGCAGATATTTATCGGGAAACAATACCGAATGAAGCACCTCCTTCGTATCGAGGGCAAGCTGTTAAATACTCTTATAAAATTACAGTCGGTACTCAACGCGTTAATACAGCAATTAAATTACTCAGAATACCATTTAGAGTTCTTTCATTAAGTGGTAAGTATCTTTTCTTTTATAATATATTTATAAAATTTACAAAATATGTTTTATATTTGTTTTAGAATTATCCGAAATAACTCCATGTAATGATAGTGTAGATTTAAGTCCAAATAATCCATTTATGGAAACACAAAACAGAGAAACGCCATTGGACATTGCGTTACAAATTCTTCAGGTAATTGAATAATTTACAAAAAAAATATTAATTAATACTAAATATTAATTATTATACATATTAATTAATATAAATAGTAATTAATAAAAATTTTAATTATTATAAATCTTTTGATAGTAAATTTAATTGAAACGATAACTTTTTCATTTTAGAATTTGACGGCGAGACGAAGTCCAAATTTCTACAATATAACAAATGGACGTGGACGTGTTGTTCGTTTTTGTCTTTTTAAAAATTCCTATAAACTTGGCGAGGATATTGTTGGGACATTTGATTTTTCAAATGCAACTGTTTCTTGTGCTCAGGTGTCAGTTTCATTACAATCAGAAGAGATTGTCATGGAAAAATATCGACGTGGTAAAAATTCATTACCAACATTAGTCAGTTACAATAAACATCATGAGGTTTGCATTGGTTTGAAATATTCACAGCTCGTATTGCCAATACCACTTCATGTGACGCCTGACTTTAGTACCGATTTAATGACATTGAAATGGCGTTTACATTTTGAATTTGTCACCACGACAAAATTAGTTGAAATGCCCAATGAAAATACAATAAATTGGCAGGGACCAACAACACTCGATGTTGAAACAATGATTTGGGATTTACCACTTCATATACATCCAACAGCAAGTCCGCCAAATATTGCTCAACAAACGAAATACAATACTGTTATCTAGTCTTGATTATAATACATATATATATATATTTTATTCAAATTGATAATAAAATAACTTTACAGAATTTTCTTTTGTTATTTTTTAAAAATATATTTCTTAATTTTCTTATTTTTTTTATGACCAATTCGTAATTATACTTCGTAATAATTCGGCTCAATAAAAAGTCGATTAAAATAAAAATTGACTTAATAAAATTTCTGCTTAATGCAGGCCTCGGTTTATTTATCTAGAACAGCGATGTGTTTCACTAAACCAGCGAAAGTTTTTGCTATTCCAGAGAAACTTATCGCTGTTCCAGGCGAAGATTAAGGTTTTATAAATATAAAAATTTACACAAATTAATTATTTAATATTTTATTTATTTCAAAGTATAATAATTTCTTTTTAATGTGTGAGGCTCCTCAGTTTTATAAACTTGTATTATAATTATTATTATAATTCTTTGGTAACATAAATTGAATTTTCTTCTTAAAAATATTTGAATTTTTTTTTTATTCATATTGGTATATTATATATGGCAAAAAATTTATATATATTAGGAATGTGGATCATAACGATAGTGGTGAATATCTTGTTCGTGATGTAAAAGGCGAGATGGTATTGGTGGTGGTAAAGCGGGCGTTTGAAGGGTGGTAAAAGGAGCATGATAATCGTAACGATAGTAGGCAAAAGATTCCCATCTATTTGGATGCTGTGCAGACTCAAAGGTCGAGTTGTTTGTCGATGTCATTGACGTTGTCGTTGTCGGCGCTCCACCATAGTAACTAGATCTGTCTGGAATGTTTGGAATGTAGGTGCATTGAGGTTCCAAGAGACTTTGCAAATGTCTGATGTATTGTATCGCGTGTCTCAATGATTCGATCTTTGATAATTTTTTACCTGGTGGCTTGCAAATCGGCAATTTCGATCTCAACAATTCAAAAGCACGATTCATATCTTTCATTCGTGTTCTCTCACGATCGCATGCTGATTTCTTGTAATCTGCAAAAAAAAAAAAGAAAATTTTCATGTGAATTTTTACTTTTTTTAAATCAGGAAAATTATTTTTTATTTCTAATAATAATAATAAAAATAATAAATAATATCAATTAATTTTTATTGTTTTTCATAAAAGAGTTTTCTCTTTATGCAAAAAAATTTGTTCTTTTTGTAAAGAAAATTTTTCTGGAAAAACAAATGACAATTTAATTTATTTGACTCGACATTAAAATTTAGTTAAACGAATTTTTAATTAGAATTTTTTTTTGATACATGATGATATTTGAAAATAAAAAATTGATTAGTAAAGAAAATCATGCCTCAAATTTGGGGTTGTTTTTTAAACACCAGGATTTTAAGACGAGAGAATAATGACTATGAAAACAAGTCGAAAAGGTTATTTTTTTTGACATAAAAAATAAATTAATTAACAATATAAATTAATTAATTATAATTATTATTAATTATTATACTAAAGTCAATTAAAATGATAATTAATTAATATAAAAAATTTTAATCATTTAATGATTAGGTGTCCGATTAAACGAAGCTTGTTATTTTTGCTATTATCCTCCACATATACGTAAAAAAATGTCAATAATGAGAATAATTCCAAGACATCTGATTTCGGAATCGAGAAAAAAATTGGATCACTCATCGGAAAATATGACAAATTCGAGAAAATTGGGAAAAATTATTTTTAATCAACAATCAGAAGAAATTGCCGTTATCACTTATAATGAACGTTTAAATTCCGATAGTACAATAATATCAAATAAAATTGAAAAGAAAAGTCAAGAAATTCAAACTGATTTAATTGTAAATTCTCAACATTCTCTTCATAATGAAATTAAACATGAAATTTCTTCTTCTCATCGTAAAATATCATTAAACAATAATAAAATTTCACATAATCGTAAATTATCCTCAATCAATAAAATTTCATCGGAAGAAAAAATTTCTTCACATGATAAACTATATTCAAGGGATAAATTTTCTTCAAAGGAAATGAAAATTTCTTCACAGGAATTAGAGAGTGAAATTTCTTCTAATTTTCATGTTAATTATAATTTCTTATCATTGCAAGAAAATTTTTCCGATCATAATAAATTTATTGCATTGTCAAATAATAAAAATTTTAATTTTCAAAATGATAATAATGCTGATGATAATGAAAAAAAAAATTCATGGTGGCGAAATTTTTTTCGTCAATTTATTGTTGATTTTTTTCTCCAATTATTGGGTAAAAATACATCGCGTAAATCTTCAAATAATATGAAGGAAAAATTTTTTACTATTGGAACAAGTACGTCAAATTATAATAATAATAATAATAATACTAATGTTGATGATGATGAGGAAAAAAATAATGGCAAAGGTGATAGAAAAAAAAATAGTGTAAAATTAATATCCGCTAATAATAAAAAGATTTTAAACTCTTTTGATGATGATGATAATAATGATGCTCGAACTAATACAAGAATTATGTTAGGAAAAGAGGAGAAACTTTTCTTTGATTTGATTCAATTGACCCAGGATGAAAATTTGCGAGCCATTATTTTAGAACAGGCAATGAGAATGAGAATTCTCGAGGAGGAAAATGCACGATTCAGAAAGAAACTAGCTGAGAAATTGAAAACCCGACAGAGTAGCAGTCCTTTTTATTAAGAGAGAGAAAGAAGATATATAATGAGATTCTTTTTTTAAGTCCGAAAGTAAAATATATTTTTTTTTTATTCAAATTATATACTCCATTATTATATAATCAATGAAAATATTTCAATTTTTTAAATAAAAAAATAATATAATATTTTAAAATTATTTAAAATATAATTAAAAAATAAAAAATTAATAGATACAAAAATTTATAAATAAAAATATAAATAAAATTTTTACAATATAAAATAATGCAATTAGTTATATTAATAAATAAATTGAAATTAATTTATAAAATAATTATTATTTGATGCGATCAATTGAATTTAATAAAGAAAATTATTTGCCTCCGCAAAATTTTCTTTTTTTAAAAATTTAATTTAGAGAGAAATATTGTCATTTGCATGAAAATTATTAGTTAAATGTGAATTTTATTGTATTATGAAAACAATTCAAATAATATATTATTATGATCGGCTGAAAGTAATTTATATTTAATTATTATGTTTCATGTCGCATTGAATTTTCCAAATTGTTTTTCTTTGTCAGTAACATATGTTAGTTAAAATATTTTGTATGTTTAATAATTTTTTATTTTTATTACATGGAAAATTGGTTTCGAAAACGTTCCTCGGGTGAAATTAAATTATGCGCTTTTTTTTATAATTAACTTCAATTTAATTAGGATTTTAATTAGTCCAATTACCATGTTCGTTGCTCAATTTAAACTTGCAATGCATTTATTTGAAGAATTTTCATTTTGAAAATTAAAACATATTTTTAATATTATAAAAATAAATTTTTGAATAATTTATAAATAGTTGCTAAATTAAAATAAAATTTTTATAAATTTAAAAGTAAATTAATTTTTTTTTTTGCGGTAATTTATATTATTTTTTCGGGCTTTTTTGTTTGAAATGAATTCTATTTGCTACAAGGTTTTTTTTATTATTGAAAATTGAAAATTTGTCGAATGGAAATTTTATTTTCATTTTGCCTAATTAGATATTGACGCAGAATATAAGCTACTTACCTTTCTCAGTTTGTGAAGCTTCACGATGCACAGGTTTAATACTTGTTTGGTGAAGCAACTCTAAATTAGACGGAGTTTCCACCACTTCAGGTTCAGGTACTCTTATTACAACCACTCCTTCTGAAGTTTGTGAACGTTGTTCAAAGTCTGATTCGTGCCAACGTCTTCTCAAGAACTGTTTTCTACTCGTATATTGGTCTTGTAAAAAGAAAAGAATTTTTTAAATTAATTTTTCATTTTTTTTTCCCCCTTTAAAATGATAAATTCCAAAGGTATTTTTTTTAAATGGAGGAAGGAGTTTTTGAATCGAGAAAAAATTATTTTTTGATGTGACAACAAAATTTTTAATTTTTTTGAAATTATTTTCAGCTTATTCTAATTTTATGTTTCAGTACAAAATAAATACTAAATAAAAATCTTATAAAATTTTAACTAATTTTAATTATTTATTTTTTTTGCAGATTTTATTCTCGATGGCTTTTGATGTCACGTGTTCTTCAAAGAAGAAGGTATCTTATCTTGAAGTACACAGGATTCTGGATTCTTCATATTAATGTGAGTTTAATTTTTTTATTTTGATTTTCTTAAATTTCTTTTTTTTTCTCACCTGGTCGCGGATCCTCCGCATAATGACTTGAGGAAGAACTTAAATCCTGCTGTAAAATTTGTTGATGTTTGGAATTTTCGTCGAGATCAAGCAAAACTCGGGGTTGAGAATATTCCTCGTCATTGCTCTCTTTGTCCGACTTGAATAGAATTAAAAATTATTATAGGATAGAATTTAGATGAAATTTAAAAAATTTCCATTCAGGGAAAAGTAGGAAAATATGGAAAATTAAATTTTGATTTCATTTTGAAAAAATAAAAATTATTAATAATTTATTAATAATTAATAATTATTACAATTATAATATTACCTGTATTATTATAATTATTTATTATTAATAAATTATTAATTATTATTATTCTACAATTAATAATATACTATTTTAAGAAAAATTATTTCACACGCGTTTTTTTTCTTTTTTATAAATTATTATTGTTAATTAATTAATTAATTAATTAATTATCTTTAAAATGGAATTTTAATTTAAGTTTTATTCTAAATTTTTATTGAAATAAATCTGAATTATAATTAAAATTTGAATTATAATTCAGATTTGAAGAATAATTTCCGGAATTTTTTTTAAACGATATGGAAAAGTTGAAAATATTTTAATAAGTGAGATATATATTTTTTTTTGTTCAAAGAAACGTGATCACGTCATTATTGTAGACGTCATAAAAAAAATCCAAAATGGTTAATCGAAGTTTTGAATATTTTATATATAATCAAATTGAAGAAAAGAAAATGTAAAATAATGTCAATTTAAATTTAAATTTTTTATAATTTCATCTTTTGATGGATTTTAAAAATAAAATTATTATATTTATTTAATTTCTGGTTGAATATTTAATAAAAATACAATTTTTTTTTTAATATCAAAATTGAATCCAGTAATGGAAATACTAATAATTTAGTGCTCTAATTTAAAAACTGATTAATTATAATAAATATCTTTCTCTCTTTCTCTCTTTTTCTCACACATCAACGGTTTATATTAACATCGATTTTTCGATTAATGGTATCGAAAATTAATTTGCATTTTAAGTTTTGATTTCTTTTTTTATTTTAGGAAAAATGTTATTTTAGTAAAAAGTTTATTAATCGAGAAATAGATAATTTAAAAAAAAATTAATTAAAATTTTTAGTCGGATTCTTTTTTAATTATTTAAATTTTTTGTATCAATCTGGTACCTCTTTTTTGCAATATTTCCTTTGGTATTCCTCTTGTTTTATGTCCATTATCAAAAAAAAAAAAAAAATTGAAAATTCCTGTGTACACTTTATCCGTGAATTTTTGATCTTTGATGATCTCTTATGGGGGAGACCCCATGCACTTCTGGTAAAATGTCACGTGTGACTAAAGAACTTGGCCTCGGAAGAGATGTGGATCGGTCACAAATAGACTTTAATAATGTTCATTTTATCCGTTTATTAAGTATTCAGGTGTTCTGACAGAGGTTCTCATAATTTATATATATATCTATATATTTATTACTTACCTTACTCATCTTCAATACAGGGACGTGTCTTTAATTATTTTAATTTTTTTTCACGCACATATCAAAGTTTGAATTATCTAATTCTATGCAATTGTCAATTTTAATATATTTTTAATCAAATTTTCTACAATATAATATTTGCAGTAAAAAGTTTTTTTAAATAATTTTTTCAATTATTATTCTCAATTACTTTTAATTCAATTAATTGATAATAATAATCAATATCAATATAAATATAAATAATAAAAAAATAATAAATAATAAATAATAAATAAAAAATAAATAATAATTAATAAATAAATAATAAATAAATAAACAATAATAAATAATAATTTAATTATTAATTTAATTGTTTAATATATATTCAGCTTATAGAATATTTTTTAGAGAGATTGTGGAAGGGAAAGGGGGGAAATTACGAGGGGTCACAACTGACGGAAAAATATTAACATAAATATGAGAGTCGCTGGGGATATCGGGATAAAAATGGATAATACAAACGATGGAATATAATAGAGGTACATTCGATAGAAATACTAATGAGTAGAACTGTAAAGGAATGTAAAACGGGGCAAACTAAAGAAGAAAAAAAAATGAAAAAAAAAACATAAATGGCAAAGTGACCAAGTTTTGTTAGTTTATAGAGAAATGATCTTCAAAGGCTTTTGTATTCAAATGTTTTTTTAATATATACGAATAATCATAATGATAATAATATAAGAGAATAATTCATTGTTTCCCTAAAGCAGACTAATTTTTTTTAAAAAATAGAATTGATTATGATAATAAATAAATATTAATATTAATATAAAATATATTTTTTATATATTTAAATATTTTGAATTTATTTTATTTATTTTAATAAATAAATTGTCCAGTAGTATAGTATTAATTAAATAAATAAAATAAATTTTTAATTTAAATATATATATATTATATTTTATAATCAAATAAATATATTTTATATTTTTCATTTATGTTTTACTTTCCTTTTTTTCTTTTATGAAAAAATTGTTAAAAAATTGAAGATAAATTTAAAATAATAAATTCGAGGGGCAGTATACCTAAATGAAAATAAATTAAGTTATTTATATTCAATTTCAATTTATTTATTAAAAAATTAATAAATATTCAATTTCGTCATATCTCTATTTTTTGTTTATAAATAATTAAATAAATTATAAACTCATTATTTCTAAGTAAAACTATTTTTGTTGACTATTTTTCACATATATTTAAAAATAAAATTATGAAATATTTCGTTCCCTTACTTCCGTGTAAATTGGCTTTACCGTAGTTGGACACGTTGATACTTTTGAGATCAATGAGGACGTTGTTGAGGGTTCATTTGAATGTCCAATTTTTGAATTATCATCTGAAAATAATTTATCATTAAAATTATCCTCTTATTATTTATTAAATATACGTGAAATATAAAATTTTAGTCAATTAATTAATCAATAATGTATAATTGTGTATTATTAAATTATTAATTAATTAATTTTTAAATAGAATTTTAAAAAAAGAAATTAATTAAAGATAAAAATTTTTGGATTTAATTAAATTTTTTTATTAATTAATAACTAATTTCAAGAATTTAATAATTATTTAAATTATTCAGGAATTATACAACTAATTATAAATCAATTATAAAATAACTAATTATAAAATAATATAATATAAAACTTTTTTAATTAGTTACATAACTTCATTCTTAAATTCTTTGATTTATATTCCAATTAAATAATTTGTTTAATATTATTTAATATCAAAGATAATTTTATTGAATTCAAAAGTTTTGTTTCTCATTTTCAATGAGAGAAGTAGGCCAATTAAGTGTGTCTTTTAATTAATTTACATTAATAAGGCAATGATTGTAATAAAAGTTTTTTTTGCATAATTGTATTATTAATTTATTACATTCACATATTGTAGTATATTTTTAATTTGTACTTCCATTTTGTATAAAGGAGAATTTTAATATGCATAAAAAAATTATATCTAAACAAAATTTTTTAAAATATAAAAATAAAAATATTTTCAGCCGGGGAAAATTTATTGGGAAATGTTTTTTTTAATTTTCATTTCTTTTTACATAAAATCATATATATTGATTTTGAAGGTAAACTGGAATATTAAATAAAAAAAGTTAACATATTTTTTTAAATTGATTTCAATTATACCTGACGTTGGTGAATATTTATGTCTTGTTATTTTCCGTAGAAAATTTAATAAGAGGATTCGCAGTTCAGAATTAAATGCTATGTATATCCATGGATTTACACAACTCGTCAGACAGCTTAATAGTGAAAGAACAGTAAATAATGGACCTGTCAAAAAAAAAACGAAATTTTTTTTATATTTTCTTCTTACTTCGGATATAAAGTTGAAAAATAATTTTTTTTGGGAAAATTTTAATTTTATGTCTACTTTTAATTGTTGGTTAGGTATTTTTTATTTTCTTTCTTCTGAATTTATTTTCCAATTATTGTTCCAAAAATTGCAATTATTTGATCTTTTGGTTTTTTAAAAATTTTGAAAAATAAAAAAAAATCGTTTAAAAAGAAATCTTTTTTTTTTGTTTAAAGATTTTTAATTCAATAAACTTATATTATTGAATCGACGATTATAAATTAATAATTAATAATAATGAATATTAATATTAAAACACTTGATAAGCAGTAATGTTTCAACTTTTCAATTGTAAGAAATTAAAAAAAAAAAAGATATAATCACTTGTTTATGAGACATTTTTCATTTTTTATTCTCTTTTGAAATAGAATTTTTTTTCGTAAAAAAAAAGAAATTAAAAAAAAATTGTAACTTTTGTATGCTCTGTTGTTATAAAAATTGACTTATGGAGACATAATAATAATTAATAATTCAACCAATTGTTATTGATTTACATAAATGCTAATGCATCTCTATAAGTAAAGATTTATTTCTTTCAACAGTAATTCTAGTTTATCATTTATAATCATTATTATTGACTTAATCAGTTATTGTATACAATGTCAATATATTTCAAATTTGTTAAAAAAAAATTCATATTCAAAAAAATACAACAGATATAAATATAATTAAATAACAATAAAAGAATAAAAAATTTATTATTTATTAATAATTGTAATAAATAAATGGTTAGAATTTTTCTTTTAATAATTTTTCTCAATAATTTCTTTTTAAACGAATTTTTACTCAAAATATTGTTTACCATCGAAAATGGAAGAATTTGAGGCTCTTACTGGATCCCAAGCCATCCATAGTTCACAGCCAATAAATGGACTCCAAGTTAAAAAATATAGAGTAACAACAACTATTGTTTGCTTCATCGTATTTACCCTCGCTTTTGTTATTAATGGACTTTGTTTTTTTTTAATAATATTCGAATTTTTTTTATATCCAATTTCTAATGGGTCCGATACTCCACTGTTTTTCCAAACTCCAATGCAAATTCCTGTATATGTATAGACTAAAACAGTGAATGGAAGTAGAAAAACAGAAATGCTGTACCTGTTTGTGAAACAGAAAATATATATATATATATATATATATATATATAGAAACGGAAATGGAACGATGGTTTATTATATCATATCCTAGTGTGTAGAAATATATATATAACGTGCAAAGAGAGAGCGAGAGAGAAAATTACTTGAATCCCTTCGTTGAGTAAAAGGAATATCAAAAAAGAAAAAAAAGAATTTTTTTTGCGAAAAATAATCAAATGAAAACTCACGTTAAAATATATGCAGAAAAGATTTTTTCTCTATACGTAAGGAAATAATGAAATAAAAATAATTTTAATGGAAATTGTATTTTTTCTAACATGGGAGAAAAACGTTTTTCCCCACACACAGATTTTTACGAGATTGAAAAAAAGAGAGAAAGAGATAAATATTTGTTTGTATCTTAACGTACTGAATGATTATAATTTTCAAAAATTTTTATTTAAATATTTTTTCTTTGAGAAGAGATTTTCCGTTAGATTCTCTACAAATAATTCATATTTAGTTGAAACGAATTTTTTTTTGTCATATTTGTAAAAAAATTAATTAATTTTTGAATAATTTTAAATTTTATGACTGACCATGTGACATAGGCTTCTTGTCCATAAGGCACTGTAAATGTAGCCCAACAATCCCAAACTCCTGGTGAAATTAATTGATATGAAAATATAAAAATCTGTAAAAGGTTAAAGAAATAGTTTGAAAATTTAGAATCATATTTTGTAATTAGGGATCCCAAAAAACCTCTAAGTACCAATTTTCAAGTCAATCCGATAGATTTTTAAAAAAAATTTCCGCCATATTGGATTCGACATTTTGAATTTTGAAAATCTGCTATCATATTCGTAATCAGCGACCCCGAAAATCCCCGACTAACAAATTTTAAGTGAATCTGACGAATTTTAAAAAATGTCCGCCATATTGGATCCGACATTTTGATTCATTCTAATTCTTATTTAGCCTAATTTCAATTAAGCCTATTATTTATATAAACTAATTCTTATTTAATTATTTATTTCAATCTTGGCTTAATATTAACTTATTCTAATTCTTATTAGGCCTAAGTTTATTATTTATAAATTCTAATTATTATTTGGCCTAATTTCAATTAAGCCTATTATTTATGTAAACTAATTCTTATTTAATTATTTATTTTAATCTTGGCTTAATATTAACTTATTCTAATTCTTATTAGGCCTAAGTCTATTATTTATAAATTCTAATTATTATTTGGCCTAATTTCAATTAAGCCTATTATTTATGTAAACTAATTCTTATTTAATTATTTATTTTTATCTTCGCTTAATAATAACTTATTCTAATTCTTATTAGGCCCAAGTCTATTATTTATAAATTCTAATTATTATTTGGCCTAATTTGTATCTAACCTAATAATTATGTGGATTAATATTGTCTTAATTTAATTCTTATGTCGCCTAATATTTATTTCCTAATATTCATATTTTGTCAAATTTGAATCTGCTTTAATTTTTTTCAGCCAGTTAAAGCTTAGGTTAAATAAGAATTAGTTTGTATAAATAATAGGTTTAATAACAATTAGGCCTAATACGAATTATATTAAATACAAATTTGGTCAAATAAAATTGAAATAAATAATTAAATAACAATTAGATTGTATAAATAATAGGCTTAATAAGAATTAGGTCGATAGGAATTAAAATAAATTCATATTAGGCCAAGTAGATTTTAAAAAAGATTTATTTGTATCAAAAAAATTTTGTTGTTTCTCAGTTGTAAAATTTTATTTAGCACGCATATAAATTTTTATTTAAACCAACAACAAAAAAATTGTACTTGACACAAATAAATTTTTATTTAACTCTGAGCAAAAAATATTTACAATTTTTTTTTTCGTCTTCTTAATGCCGACAAAAAAGAAAATGTCGAGGAAATAGCAAATACGTTTGAATGCTTAATGAAGGATTTTGGACAATAATAGATGTGCACATTATAAAATGAATAGAAAACAAGTTGTCAAGAGATTAAATTACAGTATATATGATATTTTTTGACGTAGATATATAATTGAAAGAATAGAGAGAGAAAAAAAAGGTATTATAAGTTAATACTAACTTGTGGTGTGCATAGTATGAGAGCAATTATCCAAGCACTGTAGACCATAATCCTTGATCTTCTTGACGTAGTACGACAATAACTGAAGGGAAAACAGATGGCATGATATCTGTCTATAGCTGTCGCTGTTAGTATGTAGGAACTTAAATATGGACCAATTGGTTGACCAAATTTTATTAATTTGCAGAGGATCGGTCCTCCCTGAAATCTATGACACTTGCTGGATTAACTTTTTCCAAATCTTGTATTTTTTCATTTTTAAATTGAGAAAAAAAAAATTTCTACTAATGCAGTAGAACCTGAGTTATTGAGACGCATATGGTATTCGGGGAGTGTCTCAGTAACAAAGGTTCCACTGTAGAAGTAAAATAAAATTACAATTTTTTAACTCCAATAGCACGGAATATTCTTTTTAAACATAATCCAGTAATTTAAGTGGAATATTTTTGGAATTTAAATAAATATTCCTTGGAATATAAATGGAATCTTTTGGGAATGTAAATTAAATATTCTTTGGAATATTAATTGTATATTCCTTGAAATGTGAATGGAATATTTTAGTAGTGTTAGTGTTTTCTATGGAATGTGAGTGGAATATTCCTTGGAATATAAAATGGAATATTTCAAAAAAATATATAAAAAATACTCCTAGCAATAAGGTGTTACAATAAATTTTTTTTAAAGACTTTTAAAGTGATTGAAATAATAATAATTGAAATTGAAGTACCTCTACTATAATAATAGAGCGCAGTGAATTTGAAAGTGTTTTAAAGAGATTGAAATGTAGTTGCATTTACTCGCATTAAATTGAATTCATTTTCAAGAGATAATAATGTTTTGAATTTCAAATTTTTCTAATATTTTTGTTATTGGATTCGAAAAGCTTCCGCTTTCTCGTCTCTAATTTCATTTAAAAAAAAAAAAAAAAAAAAAAAATTGTCAAACAAAACAATTCTAAAGTGCATAATGTCACAAATATTTCCCACGTTATCATTTTTCATTCACTGCGACTATTATATTGAACTTGAAATTATATTATTGTTTATATAACGAATAACGAAAGAAATTATCAACTATTATATACTGAATTATTATAAGTCCATTATTTATTATATATACATATATATATTTCTTTTCATAAAACTGACAGAAAAATATGTTTGATGATAATATTTATTTAATTAATTTTTTTTTGCAAAATATAATGAATTTTCATTATTGTATATTATTTTGTTAATTCATTTATTGATAATTATTTCATTTTCTTGCATGTCGTAAATTATATATATTTTACGTTTTTCTCACAATTGATATTGTTATAATTATTATTTTTAATTATGCTGTTTAATTAAAATTTATTTTACAATTCGAGAGCTGATATTTTTTTTATTCTGATTACATTGTAATTAAAATATTAATCATATTTTATTTTATTAACATTAACGATTCATATTTGAAATGAAAAATTTTATAAATATTAAATTTTTTTGCGTCACTCATATATATATATATATATATATAAATAAATAATGTGAAAAATATATTTTTTAAAATATATTAAATATTGTATTGAATAAATAATAAAGTAAAGAAATAAATTTTTCTATATCACTTTAAAAGAATAAAAATAGATAATAATGAATGATTAGAATAAATAAATTATAAATAAATAGAAAATAAATATAAATGAATATAATATAAAAATTTTCAAAAAAAATGTAAAAATTGAAAATTTAATTTTTGTTGTAAATTTTCACATTTACCTGAAAGTGATTTTCCACACCATTTGTGGAAATACATTAAGAATAGCAGTGAGTAAATCAGCGACACTTAAATTCATAATAAAAAAATGCATTCTTGTTAATTTTTTTCTTTGTCCATAATGTCTTTTTAAATAAATTGAGAATAAAACGAGGGAATTGCCAATAATAATTATAACGAATAAACATGCCAAAATGCCAATTTCCCATTTTGCTAGCTCCTCGTCCCTCGTATCATTTATTAAAGTCCCATTCTCCATAATTGCTCTTATCAATTTTCACATTTGTCAGTTTATCATATAAACTCTTTTTTCACTTTTTTGATACTCTTTTTTTTTTTTTTTTTATTTTAAATTCACATCATCACTGTTCACTCTTTATTTATATATATATGTATATCCATTACCGATTTTTCCTGAAGCTCTCGCGTAAAATTCGATTGTCGTGTTTTTCATTCAGGAAATTGAGAGAGAGAGAGAGGAGAGAGTGTACGTGTAAAAATTTGACGGATGATTCGAAACGATAAATAAATGTTGTTTGAGGAACGATGTTGCTAACACGTTTGAGAGCGGATTGCAGTTCTGACGTCCGGGTGTCAAAGCGTCAAGGATGAATGAAAAGACCGACACGACGTATATATAAAAGAGAAAAAAAAAAGAAAAAATAAAAAAAAAATATAGAAAAACGTATTTATAAAGTAAAGTATATTAAAGGAGAGTGAGGGAGAAGGAGAGGGAGTTCAATAAAGAAGCGGTAGAAGAAGGGAAACTTGACACGACAATATGACGTCTCATTAATAATCATATCCGAAATATTAATTAATAACTAACATACATAGATGCATTTTCTATATATATATACCTAGCAAGAGTAATAAACTATAGGTTATAAGGTGGGAGATAATTTATAATGGTTTTACATTATAATGGTTTTCGTTGCTCTATATAAGTGAGACGGAAAATTCTCAGTTTTGATTTTAATATGGTACACCGAAAATTTCATTAAAACAATACACGTATATTCATCAATCAAATTCACGTTTTCGAAAATATTTAAAATTAGATGCAAAAAGTTAGAAAAAAAACATCCATTAATATTTTTGTCCAAGTAATTTTCAATAACATAAAATATTCCATTAACATTTCTGGAATATTTCTTGGGAATATTCTATTCACATTCTTGATATATTTCATTGGAAAATTAGGGAATTTACAAAAAAGAATATTACAAAAATATTTGTAAGAATATTCCAAAATCATCGATATATTCCATTGACATTCCTGTAATATTTCATTGGTACATTCCAGTTATTTTGCAGATATATTCCATTCACATTCCTTTAATATTACATTGGAACATAGGTAATATTCATTATGAATATTCCATTCATATTCTTGGAATATTTTCTTATTACATTGGATAAATACCAAAGGAATATTAAATTCATATTGCAGAAATATTGCGAGATTATTCTTGTGAAATATTCCAAAAAGCACTGAAATATTCCATTCACATTCCTGTAATATTATACATTGGGATATTGATAATATTGCTAATGAATATTCCATCCTCATATTATCCATTACTTATTTTATATCCAAGCAAACTGGATTAAATTAGAGTTTATTGAACTTTTTTCTAATGAAAGCTATATTAAAGAAATTGATATTAAGTTAATTGAAGTTTTTTTTAATACAATATTATTTACATTATTTTAGATAAGATTTATTGATTTTGATGATAAATTTTTCACGCGATAATTTTGCGAGTCTACTTAAAATTTAATTTTAAAAATTAAATAACATTTTAAAATTGGAAAACACATTAAATGAAAAATTGTTCTCGATGAGATTTAAATAAAAAATCAAGATATGTTTCTTTCATAATTGTGGATATATATATATATATTTTTTTATATAAAATAATATTTTGTGATTTATTCTGCATGTACATAAAGGAGAATAAATGAAAAATCAAATTTGAATAATTTAGAAGAGTTCGTTACTATAATTTTCAATTGAAGGTAATTTAATTAATTCTATTGGATTTCTAGATTGTAAATTGTGAGATTAAATAAGTTTTTTTTCGAGAATGATTTTCAAACTAATAAAAGTTTTCTAATTAGAATTATTACGTTTTCATATATATATTTTTGTAAGAGAAGATTTTTCCTCTTACAATTTTCTTTTTTTTATTATTAATTATTATTTTATTTGCAATATTCGATTATTTCTTTGATATTTAAAAAAATGTATTCTAAATGATCTTTAATGACTCCAATAAAATATTTTTAAATATTTAAAAGAAAATTTTTTCAGAAATATATTCCATGAAAATTTTTTTAAAAATGTTCCATGCTATTGGAATTAATTTTTTTTTTTCAAATTAACAGTTCTATATTTAAAATAAAATTAAAAGTTTACATAAAATTTTATTACTTTCACAGAAAATTAAAAGGCATTAAAATAAGCTGCAATGCTTATTATTTAAATCCCAGTTTGCTTATTTTAATACCAAAATGGATTAAAATAAGCAAAATTGGATTAAAATAATAAGCGTTGCAGCTTATTTTAATACCTTTTAATTTTCTGTGTTAAAAATAGAAATACTTTTTTTTTAAATACATATATTTAAATTAAATTCTAAAGCTATGATAATATAGAGAAATTACGGTAATTATAAATTATATATAAATAGTCAATTGATTTTATTGAAATATGAAAGTTGTTAATTGAAAATTTTCTCAATTTAACGATATATCGTTCATTCTTAGAAATAATTGCTGTCAAGCTCAGTAATTGACGTTTTAATTTTACGCGGAAACGGTTTCGATTATCGTGAATACATAATGAATGTCTCATATTATATATATATATATATATATATATATATGAGATTTAAAAGAATATATATTAACTTCGTTACAGATGCAATTGACGAGAAGCGTGCTTTTTTTTGTTGTTTAATCTAGACTTAAAAAAAAAGTATAACATTTACTCTACCTTGGAAAATTGAAAAAAAAAGAAATAAAAAATATCCCAGACGAAATTTTTTATTTAGAAAATATTCCATTATTAATATTGGGAATATTCCTTGGAATATTCAAAAAGAATAGGAATGGGAATATTTCCTTGTAATATTCCAAATATCATAGATTTAATATCATAGATTTCTTTTACAGAAATATTCCTTTTATATTCCATGAATATTCCTTTCATATTCTAGGAATATTAAAATGACCAATGTTTGGAATGTTCCAATGGAATATTTGCTTAATATTCCATTTGAATATTCCCACAATATTTTATGGAAATAATTCCAATGAAATATTCCTACAATAATCCAATGGAAAGTTCCTGAATTCGGACACTTTAATATTCCTGGAATATGGATGGAATATTACCTATATTTGAATGGAATATTCTAGAAATATGAGCGGAATATTCCTTCTTATAGATTAGTGTTTTTTTATGAATGCAAATAATAATTTTATTAAATATTCCAAGAAGGGAATATTCCCTGCTTAGGAGTGGGGGAAAGACAGGGATTATTATTATAGGTAATATAGATATTTAGAAAAATCTTTTTGCGCATTATTTACAAATTGATTCCATTTATTCTTTATATATATTTTGCTTATTTATATCAAGGACTTTTGAATAATGGAGATTGCAAAAAAAAAAAAAATATATCGAAGTCCTCGAAATAACGTGGTATTGATAATCGTCATAACGTTCTTGGCTTGACTCGTCCAACAAAACCGCTTGCCTATTATATTTTCTTGGGAACTTTGAATTGCTAAGTAATCCAATTAGAGAAGCGTAGTGACCTGTACAGGTCAACTCAAGTCTTTGAAGTACAGTCTTCTCACACAAATACACACATACACACACACATACAAAAAAAAAATATATATATAAAAAATATATATTTCGTGATAAAATTGAAAGTTGAAATTTAATCAAGATTAAATTTAAACGATTGATAATAATTTGCGCTCGAATGAAGGAAATAATTTCTGAGATCCACTTCGTAGAAACAGCAGCAGTACCCTATTAATTATCAAGAAGAATAGTGAACGTTAATGAGATTTTATTAGTTCGAAAAGCGAAAAATGTCTTTGATTCTGGATTTAATTTTTTCTCCCTTTCTATTTTTTTTATATATATAAATGTAATTTCTATAATGAATATAAAATTTCAAAGTATTGTTCCATTCACATTCCTGGATTATTCCTTGGAATCATTAGAACTATTTCTTTACAATATTTCATGTTCACATTTCCGGAATATTTGTAGGGAAAATTGAAAATATCTTAGAGAAATATTCCATATATATATTCAAGGAATATTAATTATCCGACCTTTGAAACGTTTCTATGGGCAATTTTTAGGAATATTCCATTGGAATTATGTGGGATTTTTGTTGGAATATCTGTTGGAATATTACATTATTTTTAAACTATTTATTAGAAAGGAATATTTTAAAAATATTCCAAGGAAATAATTCCACAACATTCCAATGGAATGTTACTATATTTCAATGTTATATTCCTGAAATATTCCAAAATTTTGTGATTTTAATATTTCTGGAATATGAATGGAATATTTCTTTGCTATTTCCAATGATTCTATGGAATATTTCAGGTATGTAAATATAAATGTGTCAATGAAATATTCCTTAGAAATGTGAAAGGAATATTTAGAAATATGAATAGAATATTCTTGACAATTATTTCCAATGTTTCTATGGAATATTTCAATGGGATATTCCTTGAGAATATTTCAGTGGGTTATTTCTTAGGAATGTGAATTGGAATATTTTCATCTTATTTAAAAGGAGAAAAAAAAGATTGTTTTAGAAAGAGTGGTGTTCAATATTTTTTCCAGGGCAATTGAAACTTTCCTTTTGCCTCATAAGTCATCTTATATCTATGTCACATTAGTTCGTCCTACCTCACGGTGCAATATCTTTATGCCCCTGTCTCATGCCTTGGCTGCACTGCTGAAGACATTTGTCATTGTCGTAATCGTTGGGCGTTACGAGGTCGAATACGACTAGTCTGTGGCACAATATATAATACATATATATATATATAAAATAGGAAGAAAAAGCGATGATCCTGCGGGCATACAGGGGAAGAGATTCATAAAGTAAATTACTATGTTCCTTGCGTGCGTCTTATGAGGATTGAGGAGGGCCTGTTTCGCACCTTTTTTTCTCCTTCTTCTTCTTCCTTATATATCTCTCTCCCGTGACGACTTTGGATGAACTATATATATATATATATATATATATATATATATATATATATATATATATATATATATATCTTGTCAACGGTCAGATGGAAAAGAAAAAACTTCCCTTGAGAGTAAGAAAAAAAAGTAATGAAAAACAAGTATTAAATAATAAAAAAATTTTTTTTTTTCATGAAGTTTATATCTTTAAAGGTTTGCATATTCTCTTATTCTCTTTCTACAACGAGAGGGGCATGTAGGGGAGGGGATGGGACTTTATATAATATTTTTACAATTTTTCATTTCAAAACTTTTTTCATCAAACTTTAATGTCTTTCTCTCGCCATAACGTTGTTTCACATTTATTATTTAAAATTGAATTTAGAAATAAAAATCTAAT